CTGCAGAGTTCCCTGTTCCACCAACACTCCCTACTATACGAGCTAGATAAGAACTTCTCTACCTCCCACTAACTAAACATACATATAGGCAAATACTGTTCCCTAAATTAATGTCTGAGACTGTTGGAAATGTGATATGCTGTGTACGCTGTAGTGCTATAATTTTGGAAATGCTCTGATAACGCCTCTTGTAAGAGCAGCTGGATTGGCTACAGACATGCATATCTTACTGGATGATCTTTTCCTTTCTGCATCTTCAAGACTTAAAATGACAACAGGCCTTCTTGTACTTGTTTTAATTCCACGTCCTTACCACTGTGGGCAACTGTGTTTAAAACTCCCTTGAATGATGACTTAAGTCCATCTTCAAAGTTAATAGCTTTTCTTTCTCCACTGCATGAACTGAAATCCATAATCCTCTGATCTTCTGCACAAATATGTTCATGACCATTTGTGCTTGTGCCAATACTCGCATTTAGCCAAATTAGCTGTTCTCCCTTAATGGGATTTACAGAAAAATTATATTCTTTAAACCTGGGATGGTGCTGAGTTACCTATGAATGTAGTGCACTGCTTAAATATCACTGGAGAATGACATTTTTTCAGGAGACTGTGATGACTTCTGTTGCAAAGCTGTATCTTGTAGGGCTCATAGTCAGAGGTACTGTTACTGCCTAGTGTGACCTCCTAGGTTTGCAGGGGCCAATTCTGCAAAGTTCTGATTGCTCTTAGTGTTCCTCTCTGCTTCCTTGCTTCAAAATAAAGGTTTATTATTTCCTGAGCATGGGTGTAGACCAAACTTCTTTACTTCTGAGAATGAGTCTCTCTGCAGATGCAAATTGTTATATTGCACAATTCCATTTATCTGTCTTCCTCAGCTTCCTCTTGCTTTATGTGTGGACTTCCAACTCATCTTCCTTGCTAGTGCTGATATGTTGTAGCAGTGGAGAAAAGTTAGGAAAATGTGTAGCTTTCCAGTGCATAAACCCAAACACTCTTATTTTTAAGAGCCAGTAGGTTACTTGTAGCTGAATGTTTTACTGGGTGAAGATGCGTACAGTGGAGAGTTGCTGATCAGCCAGGCCTGAAAGGTAGTTGTGCAACCAAAGGAATTGGCACAAATAGGTGTGTGAAGCAGTGAGAAGTGTAGGATTGGCTGTCACCTTCTTCCTCTTGTTAGAAGGCATTGGTTGCAAGACAGATTGTCTGAGCAAAGCTCTAGCACTCAGGTCTACTGTACAAGGACCACTTGGAAAAGTAGGTTTGCGATGTAAATTTAGGATATTATGCTAAATATATCTGCATGTGAAAGGAAATCTTGCTGGTTTAAATGGAACAGCTCATTCTGGGATTTTCCTGTTTGTTTTCTGATCCTACTGGTGAACTCAATGTCAGCCATGGCAAACTACTCCAACCTTTTCCTTGCCTCTTTCATTACATCCCATAGTATACACTGAGTAAAAGCTTTAAAATATAAACTATATTTTAGTACCTCTTACTGTAACATCCATTACTGTCCAGAATACAGTATTCAAATTAACCTTTCCCTTTTGTATTTGGGACAGAGGGGCTGGGGGGAGAGGGGGACAAACAGAGCTCTCTGTAGGATGAACGAGTTCGTAGATAAAGTTGTCTTTCTGTTATGATTTCTGTTCTAGAAAATGTGAAGCCTTACTTCAAAAAATTGAAAACTGCCTGAGAGGTTTTGAGAAATTTTGCAAGATAAAATTTTTGGATGAGTGACTGGCCTAAACCACTTGGAAGCTGTGAGCAGCTTAACAGTGTGTGTAGGGAAAACTACATTTTGAGTCTTCTTTCTGTTTCTTTTATTGACAAAATACAGAAGCTTTCATGCATGAGTAACATAAAACATAATTTTAGATTCCTGTTTATTACAGGGATTAGAAGTCTTTCATAAAAGGGAACATTTTTGTGTGGTTTCACTTGAATTTAAGGCTTAAGAAAAAAATCATGCCAAATATGCCATGTCTCACAAATGTTAGTCTATAGCACGAGAGCCTTTCTTCAGAAATCAGTCAATGTGGTATTTCTATTGATTTCTGTGATTTAATCAGTTTGACACAGATCTTTCAGTCTTATTTGAAACTTGTGTCTGAAGACTTTCCTGTCAAAGAAGAGCTTCTCACTGAACTTGCAGTGGTACCAAGCAAACTGTTGAGAACTATCAGTTCTTCCTGGCTTGTATAGAAGCTTTTAAGAGAAAAGATTTTTAAAAGAAATAAAATAATTGAGGTTGGATTGATGGTAATGGGTGACTTAAGTGGACGAAGGCATTGACTTTTATTTTATTTTTAAATTAGCCTTAGATTTTATGACAGGTGCTACACTTTAAGCCAGCAATTTTTACCGTCTGTGTTTAGAATCAGTGCTAATAATCTTTTGCAGAAAGCCAGCCTTGCAGTAACTTGTATCAGCCAGTCTCATGAAACTGGCTAAGTACATCACAAACAGAAAGAGGTTTTCTTCTTGTTCATGAAGACACTAAAAATCACTCTAGTTTCAGTTTGTGACTGGTATAGTTCCAGTGACTAAAGCGTTTATCATAGTAAATTGTGATACAATTTGCACTATGTGGATGGTACACATTAAAGGGGGTGAAAATACTCTAACTGATTGTTACTAGTTTTTTCAGCTGCTTAATAAGTGAGATCAGGGGCCAGTTTTTCAGGTACTTGAACATGGCTTAATGAAGCATTATGTTCTTAGCTTTGCAAAGGAATCTAAAGGGTCTCAGCTGCACTACTCAGGACCGGGGAAGCTTTTTATCGTAATCTGAGGTGGAAGCAAAACCAGCTTCTGTGGTGCTATGTAAATCTGAATACAGGATGAGTGCAAGCAGACCAGGAAATCAGAGTTCATGTAGGATTCTCCTCTGAAGAGCTGTGAGGAGAATGTGCTTCAGTTAAGACAGACATAATCACTATGTTAAACTTGGTTCCACAGTTCACAGAGCTGTGTTTTGCTCTGTTGTATGATATCTACGTGGAAAAAATGGTGAAGAGGAGCCTGCCAGGGTAGGAGGTATCTCGGTATCTTGCCTCTCATTGAAAACAAAGTGGGAGTGCAACCTTAGCTGAAGAAACTGCTCTACAGAGTGATGGTATCTGAGAAGTTTAGTAGTAGTGCAGCTTGCTGTGACCTCTCACAGCTTCTGTGGATGTGCCCTTGCAAACTGTTGTTCATTTGGGGAGAAATGAAGTTTTGTTTCCACTAGTTTAATTGATTTGTGTGCTGAGAGGCATCAGTGAAGTCTGCAGCCTAATCAACTCTTTCTTTTAGATTTTTAAATTAATATAATTGGACAGTGCAACACTTCTTCCAGCCTTCTTTAAGTTAAAGACATGATGTTTTTCCCTACAACAGCTTTCTTGCAGAATGATTGATCTCGGGTAAGAATCTTGCCCAATTTACAAATAAAATCTTTGGTAATTCTAGTTCATAGCTGTCCATGATTTGCAGCTGCAACATAAACTTAATGTGACTGTTGTTGGCTGTGCCCTTGCCATTCAGTCAGCATCCAGGGCTTTGGATTAACACTGCAGATGCTGCTTGGTGTGGAAAGTTTCCACATAATAGTTGAAACAGATATCCATACTTGTTCATAAGATGGAGTTCATGCTGTTGTGGATACTCAACAAATTTAGGATTGTTATGTTTGTCCGTAGCCCTACAGTAAGCACTTTTCACTTTTGTCTAATTATAAAACTGTCATTTTCTAAATGTAAATGAAGTTACAGAAGGCAGGTTCTTAGAGATACTGTTACATCAACCTCATGGAACAAAATCACAATGACAATCATGGAGAAAAATATGGCAGCCGAATGTGACCACATGCACAAGGTGGTTTGGTGTTGGAATTGTCGGGGGGATAATAATAAACATGGCTGCAGCTGCCTTTCAGATATGCAAGAAATGCCATTATTTTTAGAAATTAAGTTTCCCTTTGAGTGCTGCCAGTGCCAATATCTTGTTTTAATCACCTGGTTGACACCTGTAGCCCAGGGGAGCAAGTGTAAGGACTTGTGCCTGATTTTAGTGCTTGATATGATGTCAGCATCCCGTCTGCCAGATGACAGTGTCAGTCCACAAGGGCCCAAGGAATACACCCACAACCCTGAAGGGCTGTGATTGAGCTGTCTAATGCAGAGACCTGTCCAGTAAAAACATCTCTTCTCTTCTGTCTCTCACCAGGTTTGGCACTAGGGATGCTTCTGAGACTTACATTAAATTAAAGCTATTTATTTTTTCTCTGGCTTTATTACACCCATGGTTCTGTAATCTTGAGGCATTAAGACAACCTACCCCAGACACAACTGACTCCCCTCCCCCACCCCACGTCCTTAATTTCTCTGAGATTTTTTTGAGGAAGACATTTTTGTCTTTGACAGTTGGAATTGCCTTGTAAGTGAATAGTCCTCTGGAACCATGGCCTATAAAACAGAGGCAGAACAGTATTTCAAATTACTGCTTGCAAATGCAGTTTGGTTCATACAAAGCAATGAGGTTCATGTGACTACATGACTTGTAATTCCACATATTCATGATGGTTATACAGAAATTATTTCGCATTTATTTTGTATGTTCTGTAGGACAGTAATTGGGCTTTCTTTTTTATTTTTGTTACTTTAAATGAATGTGCTCTTGACTTGTTTTGTTTTGTTTTTCCCCCTTCCCTCACCTCCAAATTGTTCTGCTAACTTAAAGGACAGCCTAAAATGCAGTGATTTTAAAATGTACCATTTGAAGGACACTTGATTTTGTGTTTTAGGGTGTGAGTTGCCATACTGGGAAGGAATATATTTTCACGGCCACCTTGTTCAAGAGGCCTGTAAAACAGGTTTGACTTGAAGTGACCATTTGAACTTCATAAAGTAGTTTAATCACACTGAAAAACTTGTTTCTTTTAATTAAAAATGCATACATAATCTACTTCCCTGATCCCTGATATTATAACTTGTTCTTCCTTGTCTCTTTTTTAGGGGATGTGTTTTGTTTGTTCTCAAACACTGGATATGCTGGGTCAATGAACTGTTACTTCAGGAAGCAGAGCTGAGAGGACCAGCTGAGAAGACATCATTATTATGGCAAGCAGGAATGCAACACTTTCCCAAAAGTCTCTCTTCTAGGGAAGCACACATATACTGTACTACAAGAAAGCAACGTTTGGGACTTTCTAAAACACTGACTGTAACCCAGTCCAGCTTTCTCAGTGCCTGCTGAAAAAGACTTTTCTTCTCTAACTTTAAAGCAGGCTGCAAGACTATCCGCAGCAGGATTTACCAGCCCCTACACGCACAACAAGATGATTGACCTAAGCTTTCTAACAGAGGAGGAACAAGAGGCGATAATGAAGGTGCTGCAACGGGATGCAGAACTTAAAAGAGCTGAAGAAGAGAGAGTCAGGTAAGGGATCCAGCACCCTGGGTTGTCCTGGGAAGACCTACATAGTTCATACACTGAGTTACTCAGGAGCAGATTAGAACAATTTTTGCTAAGGGTCCCGTATTCCACAGTATATGTGATTTGGAGATTTTTTCTCTGGACTAGATTTAGCGTAATCTCTGGATTAAATGCCTCTACCACACAAATGATTGACTATTGACCAAAATTGTTTCAGACCCTTGCAATTCCCTAAGGAGCCAAGAACACCTGGTATACATCTGCCTGGATACGCATGTGCCTTGGTTTCCTCAGAAGACAATTCAATTTGCAAGTGTCAAAACCACTGCAAAATGAACTAATGCATGATAAGTAGAGGGACTTGATTCAAAAAGAGCTCTAGCACCCCAAATAAACAAAAAGTATGGTTGCAGTCAGCAATATGTCTGAATGCTAAAGTTATACCTCAAATACATGAGGTGCAATATATTGGAGCTGCAGTCCAGAAGAAGTATCAACACTATGCCCCACTGCCAAGAGAAGTCTTTGCATAAAAATTCTCCTAATTTTCTCTGTAGTGTCACAGATGGAGTAATATGTTGTTATTCTGGGGTGTTTTATGTGCTAGGAGGTTTTCCTGGAGCTACTACTGGTAACTGCTATGACTAGAAGTGCATACAAGAAAAGCAGCGTTGCCCATATGACTTTGAAAAAGTTATCTACACAGGCATAAATATCAGTCAAATAGTTGCTTCAGCTGATAGCTGCCTCCTAAAGAGTGAGGATTTTAGTAGTCAGCTCTCTTTTTTTTTTTCAGTGTGAAGGAAATTATCTATTACAAGGTACATCAAATAATAAGTGAACATATAATGAAAAAGGGAGCCTGAGGTGCAGAAAACTCAAAGTGCTATAACACAAATAAATGTTTACAGGTCTCAGTGAAGGTAGGGTTTTCTCTCACTGATTTGGTAGTCTTGTCTAAGATTCCTTCTCATTGTGATGTTCTTCATTAAGTCCTCTATTTCCAATTTAAATGTTTTGAAATTATTCCAACCATGATGCATCTCTGATGCTTTTCTTCTGGTGAGAAAGGTTATTTTGACAAATGGCCTCTGTGTAGGCATACCCTATACCCTGCAAAGGAAACAGCAGTCTGCCAGTTGCCCTAAGAGCATTATTCATTTTGCTGTATATGTTTGTGCAGCCTTGAAGTTGTTTTATCAGCATGTGGTCGTCATTTCGTAGAGTTATTCTTCTTGCTTCTTTTAGTGTAAGAGCAATAAAGGGTAAATAGCTTCTACTGGTTAAAAAAGCTTCTCCTCTCAAGGCATTTGTTTTACTGAAGACTGAGGGGAAAAATCATTACAGGCAATGTTCACCCCTGCCCTCCCCCCCCATCTTAATGCAACCTGAGGCGATGTTTTTACCACAGAGTTTTGTCTTCTGCTTTAAAAAACAGTAAACTGACTTTCTTGTAACAGAACTGGCATTTTATTTACTTTACGTAGAAAAACACTGGGTTTAGTCTTGGAATGTTACATCAGTGCCAGATCTGAAAGTGTTCAGGCAAAGTAATTGTAGATGTGAGTTTGAAAACAGCATTTGGGGAAAGGAACCCATCTTGGAACAGAAATTCAAAAAAGCCACTCTCAGTAGTGGCCTGAAAGGACTGTCAACAAGTATTTTTGTCCATGCAACTTCACTTTTGCCCTTTGTAGTTCTAGTTCAAGAGGGCGTGGTGGAAAATACAAGAGACTGCAGGTTGTAGCAGCCTGTAATCATCATGTTTGTTTCGTCAATAAGATGTCTCTTCTGGTTTTTGAATATTATAACTTCTGAGAAGCTGGAAGCTTATATATGAAATGGATTTTTCTGCTTAGTTTTGGCACATGGAGCTTGCTTTTTATATCTTATATATTAAAACACTACTTGAATTATATCTCCAGACAAAGAGATGCAGTATTTTAGTTTGGGTTCTGCAACCCTGCACACCCGGGATCTTGATCCAAGAGCTGGGATCAACTGTCATCATTCAAACATCACACTCTGACAAAGTGTTGTTTGTATGTGTATATAATGGAAGTCTTTTAATGTGATTTTTTTTTTTTCCTCTAGAAGAAAGTCTGAGGTTTGAAGGGTATTCTCATAATCTGGGCCATGTTCCTGGAGCATGGACAAACTGGTAACATGACAAAATCCTCTTTGAGCAACTTCCTAGTGGAATTTTACAAGTCACCTGATAGAGTCACTTCCCTGCTAACAGTTCCCAGTATTGCTAATCTGTAGTAAAACTGCACTGATTAGGCTGGTCTGCAGCCTCCTTAAGGCAGTCTGCTTTAATTCTTGGCCTGTTGAGTACTGTAAAAGGTGTTTGCCCCATTCTGCAGCTCCTCTTGTGTTGGGCTGAATCAAGATTATAAGTTTAGAACAGCACTGCTTTGGGAACAGCATGCTTGCTTCCTTTCTCACCTCTGCTGAGGCTTGTCTCAAAGGAGAGGGGATATTGGTATTTTCTTCTCACTGGCAAAAGGCTGATGAAGAAATCTCAGATGACAAGCAGGTGTGATGCAACGAAAGCAAAAGACATTGCATCCTTTTTTATTCCTAGTGAAAGAAGACGCCTCTCTTTGCTTCATTGCTCCAGGAGCTGCTGTCAGTCACTGAGTGGCAGTGCTGCTGGGGAAGGGGGAAAAGGCTTAACATGTGAGAGTCAAGTGACAGCTTGACAAGACTAGAAGCTGTTTTTCAGCATATTACCAACTTATTTATTTTGTTGTTGTTGTCCTTATTCCTGTCCAGGAATCTCTGATATGCCCTGCTCCAGCATTGAACAAGTGAGTGGGCTAAGTGCATAACTGAATTTCCTGGCAGTACTGTTAGCATAGCCCCTAAGGACTCTTTTCATAGATGTGTGCTTCAGATTTAAAATAATTTTGAGCCCTTTCTGGAGACAGTAACGTGAGTGGAAATATATCTGTCTGTGAAGTTGTGGAGTGTGGTTGGGTGACTCTTCTGTGGTGGAGTGGCTGGCCCCTGGCACCAGCATGTCTGAAGCAGAAAGCTGTTGTGGTTGTCTCTGTGACAGGGATCTCTGCTGTGGCTGTCAACCCTTCCCTGCAGAACCTCCTGGCAGTGCTCTTGTGGCCTGTGCTTGGGATTGTTTGCTCCCTGTGAAGACTGAAGGAGGTTAATGATAGGGGAAATTCTGATGTGTTTGTGTGGTGGATGGGTGGTGACTGCTGTGTGCCAAACCCCTTTGATACATACATTGGAGTGGCATTGCAAAAAAAAAGAAAGCTTCAGGGATATGATTTTGCTAGGAGTGAGTGGCTGTTGAAACCAATGTAAATGCTTTTTAGGTTCTGGTCAGCTTTAACAGATATCCTCTTCATTTACTTTTCAAGGCAGTATTCCTTATATCACACTCTGTTAGAAGGAAGGTGCTTTTTTGTGTGATAGGATATATTTAAGATATCAAAGTGAGCTTAATATTGGTATTGGGGTAACCAGACTTACTACTAAAGTGTGCAAATGACATTCAGTGACTGTCACCAGAATACATTCTTAAAAATCTTCATAAAATACTTTTCTGTTAGATGTAACAGTTTTGAGGGTGTGCTTAACACAGGCAAGGCTCTCGGTGGAGGCGATTTTGAACACGGGTGTGAGATGAACACAACTACCTTCTCTTCCGGTCTGCTTGTGATATGTTTATATTTTGCAGAAGCACTCATTGGCTCAAACTTTCAAGGGTCACCACCCCCTGGGGATTTACCATTTTATAACTTCAGGGGGAAAACTGTTTCCCTCCACCACAGATGTTTAAAAGATTGACTGAAGATAGAGCTGCTATCAAAGCTAACCTTATTTTTGAAAAGAATTGCACATTTTTCCTACTCTTCCTCCAATTATTTCTTCCAAATGTTCTAGAAATTTTCCAAATGTGTCCTCAATACTCACTCAGATGACTGTGGTAGCTTGGTAGTGTCTGCATAGTTAGGTAATGAAGCACTGATTATAACTTCAGAATTTTGAAGAATCACTGTCGTTGCCATACAACACCTAGGGACTCTATCCAAAGGTGAACTCTGCAGAAATGTTCATTTTATGAGTTCTCTGCTCCTTTTTTTTGCAAAATCCTTTCTATATCATTTGCACTACTTCATGACAAAAGTCTGAACATTTGTAAATGGAAAAATAACATGTTAAAGAGGTGTGGCTTACAGGCAAGGCAAGAGCGTGATATGTTTGTATGTGCTCTGCATTCTGTCCTGACCAGTGAAATTTGTGTCTAGCTGAGGTCTTAGGCTGACCAACATGCTTTCGGACTCAAACTGAATTTTTTTGAAAGCTTACTTAGGGTTGGAGATGCCACAAATAACAACTTTCTCTAAATTTACGCCTTAAGGATATGACAAGATCCTGTCAGATCATCACCTTTTGCAACATGATTCTGAGGTTCTTGTCAGGATACTGAGGTTATCCTTAAGCCTCCAGGAATTCAAATTAGTCTAGTAGTAAGCAAGCGCAACTAATAAGTAAATACATCCTACAATTCTTGTGGAGCTGATTTTAAAAGCATGAAAAAAACCCACCTAAACTCTCTTTGTGGCATATTAATTCTATTTTTAGGTCATAAGCTTGTGTCAACAAGTAGCTTGTTTATAATGTGAGAAAATCTTTTTAATCTACCCTTTAGTGATAAAAAAATAATTTAATTGATTGATTTATTGATTGATTGGTTCATTTATTGTAAGAGACTAAGAATTAGATGGCTTGAACTCTTTTGCTGAAAATACAAAGTGAGACATCTTTGCAACTCCTCTTGTCAAGTAGAATCTGCTCTCACACACTGCTCAGAGGTATTGTTATAAGAGAAGTACAAATTAATTGTTATTAATTGAAACTCAAGCCTTTTCTTAGAACTAGTTCTGAAATAATTTACTTGGCTCTAGTGTTTTACCAGGGACCTCTGATTAACTTTTAATGGGCTTACTTTTTAGTAGGTATAACCTGCTGAAGGTCAAAGCATACACATTAGTATGCTGGCTTGGAGATTGCCTTCAGCCAAATCAGGGACATCTCATAAGTGTTGTGCCCTCAGCTGACTGACTTCTTTCCAGATAGGCAGATCTGCTGAAGGAAAAAGAGCTCCATCCCATTGTGAAGAACCTGGAGTACTCTCCCAAAGTTTGCCTGCTGCCCATACTTGGTTTGCTTCCATTTCTTAGTATTGTGTTATGTTTGTATAAGATAAAGCAGCTCCCATTTGGGCATTTGCCACTGCCAGAGATGGCACTTCAATTCAGCAACAACCTTCTTTCAAATAAATCACATGATATCACTGTAAGGCAGGAAATCTGTGATTTAGTCCATTATCAGGTGTTCCAGAGGTGGAGAGAAACAACCCAATTAATCCATGCATAGATTTTCTATTTGCCCGCAGTGTGCTGGGCTTTGTATGCCCATTCAGTGTAATTCTACATGTACTTAATGCCCCAGGGGGGATGAAGAATTTGCCGTCTTGCCATAAAACAGGTTTCACCTTGGCACAGTGGAAAAAGTATATTAAGCAATGGGGAACTCAGGCTTATTTTAAAAGAGGATTTTGGAGTGAATTCCTTCTAACTATGTACCTTTATTTTCTTGAGTTTTATGTTCCTAGAGGAGAAATGGGCACCAGCTTCATTATGACTTTACGCTGTTTCACTCTGAAAAGTGCAGTATAGGCTAACTGGCGTTTTAACAGACCACTCACATCATATGTAAAGCTGTTACTGCATTTTCTCCTAATTGCAAACTTGGCAAGTAAGCCTGCAATCTGAATCTTAATCTGGATGCCTAGTAGTTCTTTGATCACCAAGAGAAAAATGTAATGACAACTTGGTTAGCCTTTCTGTTAACTGGGGAGCTGGCACAGAATCAACTGTTGGCTTCTAATCCTCTTGTGGTGTGCTAGGAGGCATGGAAGCTGTGGAAAACCATGGCTGCAGTCTGATTTCTCCACAGTTCCTTTCAAGGTAAACAACAATCTAAATCTAATTCCTAACAGTGAAACAGGCCCACACAGTGCAAGCAGTTTGATATTACTGCTAAGGCCTGCTTGTAGTAAACCTTGAGAATTCAACTAGCATTGTAAAAATTCCCATTTGTCTCAAAAACAGCTGCTGGGGTTACAAGATTATGATATATTGGTGAACACAGGTGGCTTAAAAACTTTTTTCCCTGCCAAGACCTAGAACTAATTGTCTTTCTGATAATGGAACTCTGTTTCTTTGTTTGTGGCTGGGGAATGCCCGGGAATAGCTTTAATACTGATGTTGCTCTTAGTTCCTCAAAAGATGGGACTGAGAGGCTAAATACTTCTTTTGAAGAGACAAGTAAGCCAAGCTTCAAGGTGAGAAGAGAAGGCAAAAGTTGTTTGGAAGTCAGCTGCTGTGAATATCCATCTGTTCCTACTATACAAGCCCCATCAGGCAGAAGGTCATTTGTAAAGTAAGTGCTGTGTAAATTGAGAGCACATTTATACCTCTGCTAGCAAGCACAGTTATCTCCCAAAGTCTAGAATATCTGTTGAGCTGGTGGAGTTAAGGTACACTAACTTTCATAGGCAGCAAGCAGTGGTGGGAGCAAAGTGCTTGACATTCATTTTAGCAAAAATGACAGCTGCATGGGCCATGGGTGATATTTAGTGAGTCTAGAGCTATGACAAATCCATGCCTCTGTCTCTGTCTGTTTGTGTTATGTAGTCAGTCATAGATCTGAGAGTCCAACAAGCAGGTAAGTAGGCTGAGACAGGTGAGAGGCCTGTGATCCTGCCCACTTCTGCAGTGGAGCTGAGCTTGATCTGGTCTGAGCTGACTTGGAAAGGTCTCCTACCACACCCTAGTTTCAGTGGCTGAATACAAAGGGGAAAGGGGTGAGCAGTGTGTGTAGGGTGAAAGGGTTGAATCAAACAGGGTGAGGACATCGAATACTTGTCCTGTGACTCAGTACCTTCCCACTAGAGAACCTCCCTTGGCATATGTTGTCATAGCGCCCTGAAGCACTAGCTGTGGTCAGAGCTCTGCTGCCCTGCAGGCCGTACAAATAGCTGAAAAGCCAGTCCCTCGCCCTAAGGGGCATCTGTTCTGAGAAGACAAATAACAAGTGGGAAAGAAGGTGAAAGGGAGATGCAGTCATCTGCGTAAAAAGTTCTGGCCTTCCGTATTTCCACTATTCCTGCTGGCTGTATTCATAAACTGTCTGAGCAATGAGGAGCTGGCTCACACCTGAGTAACTTATTTACTTGAGGACAGTGAAGCTACTGCTGTGTTCCTGCTCCAACTTAAAAGACCTGCAGCATAAGAGAAGTGCATATTTTGGCTCTTAAAGAGGCATGGAGCTATAAGCAAGAGGGAGGGACAAATTTTAAATAGTCCAGTAATTCTATGGACTGTTGAATCTTGGCATTAAAACTGGCAGTGGTGACCTCAACTCCTGGCAGTCTCAGCTGTATGTAGGTGATTTGAGACAGAAGTTGTTTACATGCCTGGAGGGACTAACTTTTGACAGAGCTTTCAAAAAGAAGTTTAAGTTCAAATTCTAATATAGCTGATGCATTCAAATTAGGCTTTTTATTTCTGGCCATACCAAGATGGAGTAGTTGAGTGACAGGTAAGGATGGTCTATCTTACTGTAAGGGACTGGCTTAGTGTTGTTTCTCTGCTGTGAATGTTTATCCATATTTGACGGTGGAATCTGCAACCTATAATAGAAGGATTGTCAACACAATTACTTGATTGCAGTAGAAGTTCTGTTTCCTAAACTCCTGAGAAAAGTAAAACTGTCATGAACCTCTTTGGGATTGGGCTAGATGATCTTTAAAGGTCCCTTCCAACAGAAACCATTCACGGTTGTCCACCAGGCCTGTGGAAGACAGTACTGTCCCACAGCAATGGGAATTTTGTTTAACCTGAAAGCCCAAGTAACTGGAGTTGTTTTGGTTTCTCCCTTAGGCTCTGTTATTAGCTTGTTTTGCTTAAGGAAAGGGCATAAATGAAGAAGGAAGATGAAGCTTGACTTCAATTTTTTTGTTTAAGCACTGTCTAAATCTGTGTAGTAACTTTCCTGGTCTGCAGGTTAGTCTCCAGGCCATGTATAAGCATATGCCTAATATGATACATGCCTAACAAGGAAAGAAAACAAGCTTTCAGATTGGACACAGTAACTCCTTATTCTGTTCAAGCATGCTTCATAAAAGCAGGGTGACCCTGCAGCCTGAAATCAAATTATAAAAAATAATATTTAAAATGGCTGCAGTTCACCTGATGGATATATGTAGATTAATAAATGGCAGAAACTTATTTTTTTGTTATTTCCATGGGATGATGTCTTCCTTTGTAACTCATTGTATTCATATAAGGATTTGTGTAACTTATAGAAAAAATGGTATCATGCTTCCAGACCACATTTGGAGTGTGTGTGTAAAAGCAGTGCCCCATGAAAAGCGTGAAGACGCATCTTCTGAGCCCCAAAGTAGCCATGCTCTTAATTTTGGTACAGACTATGTTGTTCTGCTAGATTATCTTAGTTTTAATCTTGGAAAACTGGCCTTTGAAGGCAGTAGGTCAAGATCTGCAGTTACTGGAGACTTCTCCAGAGCTGTCTCTGCTTGAGTGTTTCTCATAGTGAAACTTTTTATATTTAAAGAGTTACCCTCAGAGCATCGGTTGAAGGAACAAGGCTGAGGCTCTCCCCTGTCCAGATCACCATCATCCTTCATAAATAAATAAGGAAAGTAACAGGTAAAAAGATGGAAGTAGCATGCTGAGACAGCATTTAAAAAATTCAACAAACAAAACACAACCCAGCTCTCCAAAACAAACAAAAACTCTGACTTTTATTCTGTTCACATAAATACATTTTGTGTGTATATCTAATTTATCCATTTTTGTCCTCCTCAGGCATTTACGAGAAAAAGTCAAAGATGATGTTCAGCTAAAGAATATGAGTGGGCAGTGGTTTTATGAAGCGAAGTCAAAGAGGCACAGAGATAAGATACACGGAGCAGACATTATTAGGGCTTCCATGCGCCGGAAGCCTGCCACTGTTGGTAAGAGTTTGTCTTGTATTTTGTTTTGGAAAGGCTGGTTCTTACTTAGCTAACCTCCAACACTTCTCTGTGAAATCCAAGAAGAATATTGGTATCTCTACAAGCAGAAAGTGATGCAAAAAAAGAGACTTCCCATATAATTTACAGCGTAAGCTTTCCTCTCCCCAAACGCTGTATATTAAAAGCTCTCTGCACTTCTAGACTCATTCTCATTTCCATTTCTGAGGCCCTGTGAGCTACTTAGGAACACGCAAAGAATTAGAGATTGAGGAAATTGCTCTTTAACATGGATTTGCAAGATTTTGGGTGCTTAGTCTGAGACCTTGGAGGCTTAATGGTAGGCACCACAAGCTAGAGATAGTGGTTATAACTAATTGAAATATATGTGCTGGAAACTCTGGCAGCTAGAACTGGCATCCTGTGTCCATATGAACTTTAAATGCACCCAGCATGCCCACATCATGGTGAGTGCCCTGGTCACCATGAACTTTATCCCTGGGAGAGAGAGTGAACAGTCAGTCTATAGTCACCAAAACATATACAATGTGTTGTATACAGGATTTTATAGACCTCCATTATAAATCTCTTAGCATCTGACTTTTTAATCTAAAGATTTCTGGTCTATTTTATCATTCTTTGTACAGAAAGTGATTTTTTTTTTTCTTCGAAAAATCGACCTCCATCCCCTCCTAATCTCCTCTAATTCTACTAAGTCCTTTTGATTTAGAAGGACAAGGCTTACATTATGCTTACCAGGTTGTACTGATATTTGTGTTATTTGGTTTTATAGGTTCTATTGAGGGATTTTGATACATGCTAGTGAAGCAAATAAGATCCTTCTCTCAATACTGTGGCTGGACTATAGCTTGCTGCTTTCTATAGGTTTTATAAATACAAGTTAGCCTTGTTTTCAGAGAGGAGTTTGAATAATGTTGGTTTAGTCAGTTTGAAGTTAGTGCTCTGAGTTTTTAAGCTAACACGAGAAGGCCTGAAACAGAAAAGAATGCAAAAAAAAAATCATTGGTGGTTATTGTGGTATCTTTGTGATTTTGGCTGGTTTTGAACTTGAAGGTCATGGAAATCAGCTGTAAAATTCTAGCTGAATTTCACAGTAACTTATAGCTTAAAGGAAACTACTTAAATCCATAATATATTAAAGGTAGGTTAATTGATCCCAATCTTATTACTCGAACAAAGAGGAATATTGGTACATTAGGAACTCCGTGCACTTGCTTGGTTTAAATGACTCATGAGATGGCAAGATATTTTTGCTTGCATTTACAGATAGCAAAAGTGAGAATAAAAATCTTGTTTATTTTTGTACACTAAGCAATTCTTCTCTTCTAAACTTTTGGAGAAGTGCAAAAAGCAGTAGAGGAAACAATATAATGTTCTTACTCTGAAAGTGGCTATCAGAATAAGATTCTGTCCCACCCTCAAAAGAAATGCAAATGTATTTGTATTTGCTGAATGAGGTGGAGCTTTTTGTTTGTTTGGTTGGTTTATACTTAACTTTTTAACTTCTTGTGGTAATTCTGTCCATAAAGGATTAACCTTCTGCTTAAGTGAGTTATGACCAACTTCTAGTTTACTGCTGTAGAAAGGGAATAATTGACTTGACTAACTGTACTTCAGCACATTTTCAGTTTTCTATGGTTTAATAATTTTTGTTTCCTCAGGACACTGAGGTTGAATTTTTTATATCTAGCTGCAAGAACTACAGGATCAACAGATATATCTGGAATAGTAGAGTGAAGTATTCAGAATAGTATTTGAGTTTTCTAGTAGCATTAAAAAAATTAGTCTTCAGAAGGCACAAGATCTGCTTCTGAAAATAATTCCAATATAGCAGACTTTAGAATAGCTGTAGGACTAAATGCAGATACTTGTACTTGCTTCTTAAGAAATCCTGTATGAACATATGGGAGACAACAATATTCTTGCTTCATGTTTTAGCTGAAGCGAGTCAGAACAAAATGAGCAAACCAAAGACCAGCTGGGTGAGCAATGTTAATGAAGAAGTCTCTGTGCCACCAGATTTACATGGCATTGTGGAACATCAAGAAGAACAACAACAACTGAAAATTAGTTCAAGGTAAGCTGTCTGTTTAATTGCTCCTAGTATGTATATATTTGGACTAGTGAAACTTGTGAGCTGTAAGTTCCACCCAAAATATTGTACTTATCTCTTATTTCAAAGATCATTAAATGTTCCCTGAGAATTGTCCAAGAAATCTCTGCATGTGAAAGGCACATAGTCATGCATTGTTAATTGTTCTATATTCAAATGAAGAACAATCTTCAGCTTGCCTTTTCTCAGAAAAATTGTGAAGGAGAATTGTGCCTGAGAGCATTGTACAAACATTTCTTGAACTCTGTCAGGCTTGGTGCTGTGACATGTTCTTATGTCACAATTTAACTTGGTTCCTTGAAGTTAGGCTAGGATTTTCTAGTTAGAATGGCTGGCCATGGTCAGTCCTCTGCAGTTAGTAATAGGGGAACAACAACCTTTGCACCTCTTCATTCAGTTACTTAATGAGACAAGACTATCGATTTAGCCTGAATTTTAAATTTGAATCATAGCATTATTTAGGTTAGAAAAGAACTGTAAGATCATCAAGCCCAACCATTTACCCAGCACTGCCAAGTCCACCACTAAACCATGTCCCCAAGTGCCACATCCACACATGCTTTGAACACCTCATATCACGTGAAGAATGAGAGACTAAGAAAATTTTCCAGATTTTTAGGTACAATAGTTTAAGACCTCTGAGATTTCTTAAGAGGACCAAACATATTTCAGGTGGAAGGAGATAGAATATTTAGATATTTGCAGAAAAATGAGTCAGATTCTACCAAGAAGAGTAAATGTCTTTCTGGAATGGAGAAGCTTCCTTTCAGAGCTTCTCCATATGAGATAAGATAGTCAGCTTGGATATGCCTAAATTACTATAGTTGTAAAGAGGGCTAGATGATAAGTAGTTTCTGAATTACGAAAGATTTGACATTAAATCAGTATATTTCAAGTCTGTGAACATCCCAAACAGCTTTATTTTGTTTTGAAATAGCCTGAGTTGATTTCTGAGACAGACTTGTCTGTCTCAGATTTTAAAATACCTACGTCTAATCCATTGGCTGTGTGAAAAACCTTCCAAAAGCCTGCATTTGAGAAGAAAAGTGCTGAAAGAGCTAGGGTGACAGCAGGTGGAAGTGAAATGTCTTTATGTGGCCAGATTCCTCAACACCATTGAGGAAACAAGAACCAGGGCGTAACCCAGATAACTATTGTTTGTGCTTTTAGAGAACAGAGTGAGGTAAGAGCCAGAGTTACTTCTTATCGTGACTGTTTTACTTGGGGTTGTGCCATTGATCAGCTCTGTAACCTTTCACTTTCTTGTCTGTCTTCTAAGTCCTTCTCTGTACTTCACCTGTTTTTTCTTTGCAGTAAGGCTTGTCTCCTACTATGCATTTGTACAGTACCTAGTAGCAATTGAGTCTTTCACTTCCATGGTCTGTAAACTGGGCATGCGCATTCACAGTGAATGACACCAAAGGCTGGTGTAAGTCTTAACAACTCTGGTTTGTGTTACTGGTCTTTCTTACCCTTCATGACTTTCAATGAACTCAGAAGTGTTTGTCTTGACCCCACTGTGCTGAAAAAGATCAAATAAACTGCTTTGTTATAGACATCCCAAAAAATGAAGCTGTACAGTAGGGATGATAAAGGTTGCTTATCACAAGAAAGAGCTCTGTTTTCCCTCTCAACCCAAGCTGACAGAGTTAGTTGTTACTAAATGTAGTGTGGCTGTTACCTTCAGGACATTACTATTAAGTTATTTCTTTATGAACAGCACAAGACATGCTGCTGTTTAATATTGCATGTCATCTTGCACATCAGGAAGAAATGATGATACCTTGAAAGAAGTACATCCTTATAATGCTGTTCTTGTCATTACAACTCCTCGCAAATTCCGTGTGATTGATAAGGTGTAATAGATTTCATGAATTGCCAGGACAGCCTCTTCAAAAATACATAACAAGGTTTAAGAATATGTAGACAATTATTTGAAATATGACCAATTTGAGAGTGGTCTTCAGCCTGAGGTGATTTGATGACTTATTTCAGATCACAGTCATGCAAAGCTTGATAATTATTATCGGGGACTCTCTCCTGTCTTTTGCTCCAAATTGTACCAGAAGTTAATCAGCCTGCATGCCTTGTTCATGTGTACTTGTACTTTCACCAATAGCTCAAGATCTTCTCTCTAAAGCAAGATCACACAGTCCAATGTTTTATGAGGCAATTGGAAGTGGACCTTGCAAGTGGTCTATCATTTGCAGGCTGGATGCTTACTTACATTTACTTTGCACAAATACTTGATTAGATGCCTTGGATCATTTGCTTCTAAAATGTCAAAACCCGAAGCAAATGAATGTGGCACGACTGTGCAATTCATTGCTTGTGATTTCAGTGTGGTCTTAATTCACTATGACTGAGGTTAGTCTACACAACACTGCATGTGAGAAATTGCAGGAGGCACCATACATTTTTAAAATACTCTTCCTTTCTGTTCTCTTGATACTGGACTTTGAAAGAAACTGGTCTGTCATGGCTGTGAACCTGTCTCTACTGCCAGCAGGAATTAAGGGGAAAGACAAAAGTGGGAAAACAATAACTCCAGCAGTTGGAGCGGGAAGGAAAAGTCTACAAACATGTAATTTGGCTGTAAAGATAGCAGAGCCACAAGGAATTAATTGGCTCTTCCTCTTACAATGCAATAGTCTTAACATAGCTAGAACTAAGAGGATCAAGCATAGTATCGTTCTGGAGCTCGGGATTGCATAAGGGGAGTTCACAGCTTCTGGTGTCCAAAACCTACCCGTGGTTCAAGTAGTTGGACTTCTAAAACATTTTAAAGTGCTGCTTTAGGGATAAGGTTGTGGGAATTTTGGGGTTTGGGATTTTTTTTCTTTTCTTGCCTTTTTCCTCTAAGAGTGTGTTTTGGGTCAGGACTGGCTTCCAGTCTTTGCATTAAACTACAGAGCTTCTAACCTGATGATTGGGGCTAAAAGTTATATGATAACAAATTACTCAGACTACTTTTGTTCTGGATCCTGTTCTTAAACCAAAACAATTCTTACTGAGTGCAAAGAAAGTTCAGTTCTGGTAGGCCTGTTTGTAGATTGCTAAGGATGAAATCCAGCCCTGGGGCCAGCTCAACTGCTGTTGAATTAGGGTGCTGCTATACTAGGTGGAACAGAAATCAGACCACAACTATATTCTTAAAATCAGCATAGTGATCTTTATCCCCACACCCCAAATACCTGAATTCCATAATGAATATGAGTTATTTCTATGAGTTATTTCTTTCTTGAGTCTTATATCACTGTGATAATTTTCTTGCATACCAGAACCTTTACAAGGCAGGTATGTGAAGTGTCTTTGAAGGCGTAACCTCGAACAGAATGAATTTTCAAAGGGTGAATCAGACTGTCAATATTGCCTCTGTTGAGTGATGCCATCTATATGCTGAATCTCAAAAAACGGGAGTTATCTTTCAAATTAAGATTTGGATGTTGTTTTCTTCCCTAATCTAGAAAGTATTCTTAGCCTATGCTGAACAGGTGACAATTGTGGGTCCTAGAATTCTGCAAGGTGAAAACTTGCACAAAAGCCCTAATTTTTAAAATCTATGTATTTACAGTGCCTGCAAATCTGCAAGCCCTTTCTCCAGCTTCGCTCTTGCCTTTGCCTTGTTGCCTCTTGGTTGCTCTCCAATCTGTGTGGGGTTTGGGCCTTCATTGTGGTTCTTGGTGCTTTGTTTTGCTGAATTGAAGTGTGGAATTTTTTTAATCTGTGTGTATTTATCAGTTTGCCCTCATACACTCTTAGATTAGCCTTGTGAATGCAGCATATCTTAGAACTGTTTGTTCAGTTTTCTCATCTGTATGGGTTGTGGGTAAACTGATTTTCAGACCCTTTGTTGTGAATCTTAGTTGTAGGATCCTGGATGTCATTTTTTCAGTATGTAACACCAAGTAAACAACTCTTTAGTTATTTTATGGTAAGCTTGAAGTAGGATTGCATTAAAGATTGTGGGACTGTGTGTGTTTAATGAAACAAAAGTTACCTCCTAACCTGGAAAAACTACATTGAAGAATGTTTTACTGGTTTCTTGCAGCCCAGGGTGCAATGAGTGAAGGGTTGAAGTATTCGTGACCTAGACCTTAAAAATTAAGATCGTTTGTTCTGTTTGGTAGTAGATAATGCAGACCAGACACAAAGTGCAGGAGCACACAGGTGCTCTTAAAAACAAAAACATAAGCTCAAGTGCTTTATAAAAGCAAGAACACAAACTCCAGTTTCTGTAGTTTCTTTATATATATATGTATGTATATATATATATTTTTTTTGGACTTAAAAAAAAGGTATTTAAAACTAAGGTTAAAAACAGTAATGTGGAATGATATTCTTTAAAAGGAATTAGAAGTTGTAACATTTAGCTCTTTAAGAACTAGATTTTTTTTTTATTTAGCATCAGCAAAGAATAAAAAGAACAATAGTAATCTGTTACTAATCTGGTGTGTGCATGTCAGAGGCTGCTGTAGTTACTGTTGAAAAGTAAGAAGAGTTTATTTTTCACCCAAGATAGTTTCCATTACAAGATCAGCTCATACCTTAAGTCTCTGTGCATGGTGATATATTTCTTAAAGGTAGTATTGAACCAAAAGACCAATTGCAGTTCCAATTGCAACTCATATTTTTTTTGCTACCCTTGTGTTCACACGGCTCAATACTATCATATTATCTTCCCCATAATGATGGCTTTCCTTTTGTAAAATGGAAGTTCTGTCACTTCTTAGACACACTTAGCAGTCCAGAGGCCACTAGCCTTTCAAGGGTGGCTGCTAGAGGGTGTCCGTCCCCCCCCCCCCCCCAAACTTTGAAGTTAACTGTACTACACCCTGGAGAAGATGGGAAAGTTGTTCTCCTCTCAGGAGGGCAGACTGTTACCAGTTACCTGACTGGAGAGATCTTTATTCATGCAAGGAGGAGAACCTGGAACTTGATGAGAGCAGGATGATGATTCTTGTCCTGAGATGCCTTGTGGCTCTGCTACTTCCCACCTGAAAGTCTTTTCACCCATAACAAAGATCATTGACCAAAGAAATATTCAGTATTGGAATCTCTTCATACATCTGTATTTGAAAAACCAAGGAAGTTGCTTTCCTTCCCAGTCTGAGGTCATATTTCCTATCTGGAGAATACAAACTTTTCCTGCCTTGTACAGTTCCCCATCCGCAAAATCATATGTATGTTGGTTAATGTCAACATTTTCTACATAAAATTAAGATACTGAATGTGCTTGTTATATGAAGACCATATTTAAATCCACATCTAACTTTCATGTTCAAAAAACAAATGATTTTTCATATCTGAAATGTTGAGATAAATAGTAAAAATCTGATTGGAAAAAAAACCTTGCATCATCTGCAAATAGATGAAATAATTCTTGGTATAATGTCTCTTCTAGCTGTTTTAATTTTGCCATATCTGGACTATACTTACTATCACAAGTAATAACTTCACTTATGCTATCAAACTATAAATTTTATAGATCTTAATTGAAAGAATATCTTATAAGCTGAGTGAATGTGTTGTCATCTGTGCCATGTTACATCTTTGCTATAGTGGTGATGGGATTCCTCTGTTTTTTCTGATCTGGACACTTTGCAAAACTTTTTTTAAATCACATTTGGGCACTTTCCTCCTCTTTGATTTCAGTCCTAGAAGGACAAATGTGGGCCAAGGATAGAGATGGCAGCAGTGTTATTGTTTGAAGAGTAGCTATATTGACATAAATCTTGCTCAAACATCTAAAACATATCAAAAAACATAGTTTCTGTCGTGCCATGTAGAAGTTGGATTGAATTCTCTAACAAGAAAAGAAATTTTTGCAAGGAAACAAAATAGCAAGAATATCCCCTTTGCTATAGAAAGGAGAAGTTTTACTTCTAAACCTGATGACAACAGGTTAAAAAGAAAACTTCAGGTGCCGAGAAGTTGTGTTTGACTATGTATAAATGAATCTTTGTTTTGCTTTTTCATAAAGGCCAAAAGCAATGTCTGTTTTCTGAAATTGTTATATACTTTTCCTTTGCAGTTCTAAACCAATAACCTCCATGTTAGACAACCCAGAGGAAAGGCCTATGAAGGCAGCAGTCTCATCAGTAAGGGTATGACTGATATTGAATATGGCAGAAGTTATCTTCTACATTTTGTGTGGTTATTTGCTTCAGTGGTAAAGATAATTAAAGATTTGAGGAAGAAAAATAATAAGTTTGAAAAAAGGAGTGTTCTTTTTGTTTTGGAGGGAGATAATGAAAGCCACTAAAAGTTCAGCACTGAAGTGCTGCTACATCTGTAGTTGGTGTTCTTGACCTGGTTTCCAGCTTCTTCAGCTACCAAAAGGGATTGTCCTGCTGTGTTCCAATATCACAGAACTAGAGATAAAATTATTTAACTTGCAACAACTTGGGATTTTCAAGTGTCTTTGAGTGGTAGCTTATCTCTGTTGTTGGTGACTTCAGAAAGAACAAATTGAGGCTATCACTGGCATTTCTGATAGTTCTTGATTCATATTGTTTAGGGGTTTTGTCATGTATTCAAATCAAGAGGTATGCTTTCAGATTCTTTGCTGACAGGTAAGTGAGGCAGAGGAAATCACTGCACTTGTGTTTGTTTTGTGAAGGCTGTACTGATATAACAATTTGACTACAATTATGGTGTTCATTCTGTTTTTAGCAAAGAAGAAATCCATTTAATTCCACTGCATCAGATGATGACGTGAACCTTGGGGAATCAGAAAACAGACCAGCCATTGTACCTCAGCTATCAGAGAAGGGTGAATATGCTTATTTAGCATATGACTGTGAATTTCTTGTGGTTTATATGGAAATTATTTTTACTTTTGTTGCTTCTTTTTGAAAGCTATCAAAACCTGTTTTGCCTTTAACTCCTTGGAGTTATCAACTAGTTTATTTCAAACTTCATCTAAAACATGTGCATATACTCAGGAAATGGCTGTTTACATGAATAAATATGTTTTGCTTCCTTTCTTTTATTCATAGTTCCAGTCAGTACTGAGAACTTCATCTCAGAGTGCTGTTTCTTCAGAATTCCTGTTAAGAGGACAGCAACATTTCTTTGAATTTGGCATAGCTCCCTTTATGACCTTCTAGTCATTGCTATTAGCTCAACAGAAGCAGCCTAGCTCTCTTTGATCTTTATGTTTTTAATTTGATTTTTTAATTTTAATTTCAAATCCTCCCTTTCCAGCAGCATTGTCTGCAAGCAAGTTGATGAGTGATATTTATCACAATACAGTCATTTGAAGTTGTAATTTAGAGTCATATGTGGAAATTACTCTTCTGTCTTTGTTGCGAAGCTTGCAAACAGGAAAAAGGAAGACTTGCACAGTAATAATAAAAAACCCTTCATCTCCCTGCCAGGAGATTATTTCTGCATTTTACCTTGTTCCATGTGACTGTAGAAATAGCCTGTTTCCATTTTTGTAGATTGTTGTTTATGTTCTGACCCTGAAGATGTGTATGCATATTCAAAAGCTGCTCTTTCCTGCAAACTTTGTGCCTTGCAGGAATATTGCTGATGATAAATTTGGGGTGCTCTCTGTCTTTAGAATCATCAAATAGTTAAAATTTCTAGAATAAGAAATAACTGCAGGATTTAAATTTGCTAAAAGTTTCTATTACATACAAATCAAAATGAAAAATAGATTTAACATGTATATTAAATTTCTGCCTGTGTTTTTACTGCAGTTGCTTTTAATAAACCAGTATGATTACTGCATCCCAGACCTGCACTGTCATATCTTTCTGTTTATGCAGGCGAATGTTGTGTAAACTCATGATTTCTTCTTTATATATGTCTTACAGAAATTTTCTCATTCTCAGAAGAGAGCCCACCTAAATCAAACTTACAAAATGATGAGACAAAGAAACATATGAAGCCTTCTGTAGAACTTACTGATGAATCACAAAAGGGATTAGTTAAGCCTCCTGTCCCAAAAGCTAGAAAATTAATTCATAAAGCAACAGATTCTGTATCACAAAGAGAAGACTTTGTTCCAAAACCAACCAAACAGTCTGAGAGGATTAATGGTGCTGGTACACCTCCCAGGGGCATTCTAAAGCGCAGTTCAAGTTCAAGTTCCACTGACTCAGAAGTTCGTGTTAGTCATATGTTAGACGCTCAGAAGAAGAATGGTCTTTCTACTGCAACTATTTTTGAAGGAGATTCTGAGAAGAGCTCTCTTGTGGACGAAGCAGAGGATTGCACAACAATTTCAATGGAAAAACTAAAACAAGTGAGGTTTTCATCTAGCACAAGTAAAGAAAGGCTTCTGCAAAGCCCACAGCTACACCATGGTAAAGAAAGAGGAGAGCTTGATTTGTTAGAATCGGACAAAAAAAAGATTAGTGGAAATTATGCTATCCCATCAGATTCATTTGGGGATAAGCAAATTTCTGCTGTGAAGCCTTCAGAAACCAATTCATCATCTTTACAAATGAAAACGATAGACGGTTTACAAGAACATACATCTGCATCCGGCCCTTGTGACACTAGTAATAGGTCAGTCTTCCCGGTTAATGAAAGCTTGCAGACAAAGACAGTTTTTCCTAAGAAACTTGAAACTCCACAGAAGACTTCCAGCAATATGCTGCCAAATAGCAATAATGAACTGAGTGTTGATGAGGCACGTGAAAATAAATCCAACCAGATCTTGAGCCATGAATCAAAGTCACACAAAAACTTTACTGGTAAGAGACTAATAGAACTGAAGAATGGTATGCAATAGCATATAGCACATGCTCATTACTCTTTGGGTCACTTATACCTAACAACAGCTAGGAAACAGAAGTAGTAGGAATGTGCTAAGTACTACAGAATTAAATCCTAAATCACCTTTTTTATTTTTATGCTGTAACATAATTAATATTTTTTTTAGGTTCTTCTATTGGTAATGTCATCAGAGCCTTTATAGACACTTTTATTGTGAATGATGAAGTGATGACATTTGGACAAAATTGCTTTTATAAGGCTTGGTAGATCTGTCTGCACAGGAACTGAAAATTTTAGTGTATTGCTGTCAGTTGTCCTTGGAAGTAATTCAGTTGTAACTTGGGGATTTGCTTATAGGACTAAACACAAATATGCTGGGTTGTTGTATTCTGTGTGTGTCTGATGCCCAGCACCTGTTCAATGTAGGCATTTCCTCTAGAGTGGGATTAAGTCATTTTATCTGCTCAAACCCTCAAAAGCAATGATTCCAATAGGATATATCACTGCAGGAATTTTTTCCTCTCTATTGCCCATAGTAAGGTTCTTTCCAAAAACACAAGGACAGAGAAATCTTTGCTTCACTAACAGTTAAAAAAAAAAAAATCTGAGAATTTTCTAAATAGACCAAATGTTTTTAGAGTCACGTGGCTAATTCATAACTCTGATAAGTTTGTTTACATTGTAGATGAACATCAACTTTCTGTTAAGACAGAAGCACGTGAGGTGTCAAATACCAATTCTACAAGTCTTCAACAAGGTAAGCCTGATCTTGTTGAGGAGAGAGATGCTAAAACTACTTTCAAGCCTGACAAACATGCTGATGAACTTGTGAAAGTGGCTGATGAATCTGTATCAAAAGTTTTAGACTGGTTTAAACGAAGTTCTGATACTGAAGATGGGGAACATGCATCAACTAGATCCCAAGGCAGAGAGTCCAAAGAGAAAGTGGACTTTTCAACCAGAACAGCAGTTCTTCCTAGAGAACATAGTGGGCCTAGCATGCATGGAAAAACAGGAGTTACAGAAGAGTTACCATTTGGAAAGATTAAACAACAGAACAGTGTTTCATCTACATCATTTACTTCAGAAGATGCACAGCTGATAAAGGAGAGTGTGAAGCCTAAGAAAGGGGAAGTGAATAAGGAGCAAAATGGCAAATTGCTAACTAAATTTGATTGTACAGGAGCTGAAGAAAAAGAACGTGGTCAAGAAATCAAACAACAAAATCAAAAATCAAATCTCTTGGAACATCAAGAACACAAGCTACAACCTCAGAAATATGAATCAGAGAAGGCAATACAAGAAAAAAGAAGAATAAGGGAGATCAGAGCATTCTGGGAAAGGGATAAAACTATATTCGAGCATGGAGAGAAAGAAGTTAGTATCGATACTAGTGCATCAGGTGGCCATGCATTGAAAGGTCTTGGAGAAAGTGACAAAATAGAACCAACTGCAGTATACCCACCTAATAGATTGCGCGATCAGAGCAAGAATACATTAAGTCCTCAGTTGAGTTGTATGAGCCAGGATTCAAGAAATAAACATCAGCACTCTTTGGAGTTTAGACCACACCATGCAGTTAAAAAGCCAAAAGGAACACTTCCATTTGATGAAGTCCATGAATATACAGAATTGCCAAAAGCCAGTAACTTACAGTCCAGAGTTGGTGTCACTTCAGCCTCCCCAAAAAGCAAAGATGAGAAGGAAACACTTAAAGGAAAAGTTGCTGCTTGTTCCCAACAGAAGCCCAGCTTTCAAGTTTTTTCTTTAAAAGAAAAAATGGATGAAAAGTCCAAGAATCAAATTTCAGATCCTTCACGGTTTCAGAGTTTGAGAAACTTCTGGGATACTGGAGTTAAATTCCAGAGTAGAATTGACAGGGAAGATGTTTCTTTGCCAAATAATAGTAGTTCAATAATCTATGAAAGTAAATCAAAGGAAGACAAAGGTAGAGATAATGTGAGCAAGCAAGAGTTAATTCAACAACAAACCCAAACATCTGAGAGAGAAAAACCACAGAAACAAGATTCTCTGGTATGCAAAAAGTCTCTAGGATCTCCTACCCTGGAAGGTCTGAATGTGACACACACACAAAATACAGACTCTGTCCAGCTGAACAGAAAACCAGTTACCTCAAAATCCCAGGAAAAGATGAGTCTTCCAGAGCAAGCAGTTAAAGAATGTATAGGAAAAAGTATTGTTTCATCAAAATATCATCATGTTTCCTTGCAGTTGCTCCAGTCACCCGGTGATAAAAATGCTTTGAAGGAGACAGCAGCAGGTGATAGGCTATGTTTACCCACAGAAAAAGTGGAGAACAAGACTAGTCCATTGGATATCAGTCTCCCTAAGGAGGAAGTTGCAGAGACTGTGGAGAAAGTTGTTCAACCTAAAGGTGAGCTTGATGTATTTAAATCAGTTCTAAAGAAGCTAGAAAAGGAAGCCTCTGAGATGTCATGTAGCTTAAACCTAAAAGAAAATGTTTTGAAAGGGACAACTTTTCAATCAAATCAGTGCAAGGTCTTTGAGAGAACAGTAGAAGAGATCCATGATATTTCTCCTGCTGATCAAGAAGAAGAAATGGGCAAAAATACAGGAGAAGTGAATATGCCATCAACAGATGAGCATGAGAACAAAAAAAGCCTCAGAAAACTATTTAGGGAATTTGAACCTTTGCGTTTACAGCATCAGGCAGCAGACAAGGATGATACTCTTGAGGGCTCTGGTTTGCAGAACCTGCTCAGAGAAACCTTTGTATCTCAGCCTCCTGAATATAGAGGGGTGGGAATGAAAACGTACAATGACATGAATAGCATATCAGAAACTAATTGCAGCATAGAATCAACATGCCAAGAAGCTACTGGTCAGCCTGAAGAGGTTCATGAGACAACAGAGAAGTCTGTTGCCCCATCCAAGGTCAGTGGCTTGAGTTCTGTCTTACAGAAGCTGCTGAAGGAAGCTGCTGAAACATCACTTCCTAAACCAAAACACGCTGACAGCACAATGTGGAGGACTGCTGAGGTGGAAGTTAAAAGCACAATATATGACCATGACAGAGAGGTGCCACAGGAAATCGCTGAGACCATAGAAAAGTCTGTTGCCCCATCTAGGAGCAGTGGCTTGAGTTCTGTCTTACAGAAGCTGCTGAAGGAGGCCTCTGAAGCACCACCTCCTAAACCAAAACGTGCTGACAGCATAGTACAGAGAACTTCTGAGGTGGAAGTTAAAGGTATGACTTATGAGTATGATGGAGAGGTGCTGCAGGAAATCAGTGAGATGGTAGAAAAGTCTGTTGCCCCATCTAGGAGCAGTGGCTTGAGTTCTGTCTTACAGAAGCTGCTGAAGGAGGCCTCTGAAGCACCACCTCCTAAACCAAAACGTGCTGACAGCATAGTACAGAGAACTTCTGAGGTGGAAGTTAAAGGTATGACTTATGAGTATGATGGAGAGGTGCTGCAGGAAATCAGTGAGATGGTAGAAAAGTCTGTTGCCCCATCCAAGGACAGTGACTTCAGTTCTGCTTTAGAGAAGCTGCAGAGGGAGGCCTCTGAAATACCACCTCCTAAACCAAAACATGCTGACAGCATAGTACAGAGAACTGCTGAGGTGGAAACTAAGAGTGCAGCCTATGAGCATGATGGAGAGGTGCTGCAGGAAATCAGTGAGATGGTAGAAAAGTCAGTTGCCCCATCCAAGAACAGTGGCTGGAATCTTGCTTTAGAGAAGTTGCAGAAGGAGGCCTCTGAAATACCACCTCCTAAAGCAAAACTTGCTAACGGCATGGTACAGAGAACTGATGAGGTGGAAGCTAAGGGTATGACCTATAAGCATGATGAAGAGGTGCTGCAGGAAAGGGGTGAGACCACAGAAAGATCTGCACTGTCCAAGGCTGAATATAGAGTGTCTGATGTTACTTTCCAGAAGCTACCAAAAGAGGTCTCTGAAACAACAGCTTCTGTGCCAGAAAATATGGATAAGAAAATGCAAGGTAAAATACAGACTAATCTAAGTATGCATGTTCCACATCAACAAGAGAGAGATCATCCTCAAGAAATACAAGAAACAGTAGAAAAAACTTCTGTTTCAAATATTGCAAAATTCAGTGAATTCAGTCGTTCTTTAGCGAAACTTGTTCAAAAAGCATCTACAGTTTCATGTCCAATATCCAAAGAGTTACATGAGCAAGAAAAGTTTGGAGATCCTGCATTTCCCTCAGAAAAAGAGACTCTATGCACAACTATGTCGCAGCCATATAATATTCTAAGTACCTATCATACACAAATAAAGTTAGCCGTCAAAGGGGAAGCTCTAGAACAAAATGTCAAAGCTTCAGTAAATGATCTTGCAGTAAGTGAAATTGAAGCTTTTGATCTTAAAAGAAATGAAATTATTAATAAAATAGAAGAGAGAAACATGGTTCCAGTTGATCTTACTCCCTTGGAAGGCAAGACAAATATGATTGCAATCAAGCCATTTCAGATAAATGAAAAAGGAAGGAAAGACGAAAGCACATCCTTAGAGGCCTCTGAACAGAATTCAGAATTTCAAGCACTGTTGAATTTCAGAAGAGCAAGCACACCACTTAAGGATGATAGCAACTCCCCCCAGCCAAAAGAAGCTCTGCTCTACCTAATGTCTCAGCATGAGGATAGTGATGAAGAGGAAGAGGACAATTTAAATTTGGGATCCAAGTTTTCAGATGAAAACTCTGATTTCCACTCTGAAACCAGAAGTTCAACTCGTGAGCTGTTTGATTTCTAAAATTCATGGTGCTGAGTTGTTAAACATGGATACAATATTTTTTTTTATAGCCAACTTGAAATACGTTAACAGAAAGTCTGTGTGATACTTATTTCTTAATTGAATGCTGTGGGTATTTGTTTGGGAAGGATGGGAAGAATTAATTAAGTTCTGTAATTGGAAAGTGTTTGATAGACACATACTACATTTGGGTAAACCTTTTTGGTAAAGGGAGTTTAGCAGCATGAATTAATTCAGTCTTCGTGATTTACTCTTTTCTTCCTCCTCCATGACATCACCTTCACATTTGTTAATTTGTAACACCCAATCTATTAATTCCTTTAAATCTGGATTAAAAGAGAAAAAAAATATCAGTCACTGTTTGACTACAGTCTTTAGTTTGACCAGCTAGTCTTCAAAGATAAATGCTCATGAGTGGAATGGTTGGATATAAGGACAATACCAATACTCTATGCTATTTCATTTAGCATTGCTGACTGTTGCACTGGAAAGTGAACATATAAAGGAAGAGATGTGTTTACTAGGATTCACATTTATTTGGTTGAATGGCAGCTCTAGACAATGTTTAGTGTGTGATAGTCATCAAAGAGCTGAAGACAGAGGAGATAATTTAACCTTTTTAGTCTCATACTGAGAGACTGGGAACATTTTCTTCAGCTGGAGAATCTGAGAAATATGTGAAGTTTCCACAGCCTGACAACTTACACTTGAGCCTGTTTTGAAAGTGAGATTCCAAAGGAAGTCAGCGAAAACTGAAACAAATAAGAAAAAATCAAACATAATTTGTAATTACACCTGTAATTACAGACAGAATACTGCAGGGTGTGATTGGTTGGTGGAGGGGGAGGAAAGTGAGATAGGGAGGAGAGATAGTCTTAAATGTTTCTGAAGGAGCTAAGTCTGTCTTGATTCTGCCTTTGGAGAAGATTGCATAATTTCAGAGACCCAAATACATCCACAGCTGGGGTTTTTTTTGTGTGTGTGTTGTTAGTCAAGTACTAAAACAAAATTACTTTCACTGGGGAGAGAATATAACAGAAAAATTTGCACCGAGGGGAGAAAACTAAAACTATTAACTTTTTTTTGGGGTGCCTATTCCTAACAAGATGGTTACAAAATGGGTACAGTCTATCTTATATTATTCTTAAATAATTAAGTGCTATAATTGCCCCAAACCCCATTAATAGTCAGTAAAGACAGATACCTACACAGGGGAAATCAAGCAACAGGTTTCTGCTGATGACTGAGGATATTCAGAGAGTAAAAATAGGCACTTCAAATTAGATATTTATTTAATTTTGAATTTATTTTGTATTTTCATTGAGTGTTCACTGTCTTTGCTAAGAGTCCAAATAGATTCTCATGAGAAACTCGTGGCTGGATCTTCACTGACTTGCTTAAAGTGGCATCTCTGTGTGTGCAGTGTTCATATATTTTGTCTCATAACAGGTTCTGAAGAAGAATTAAACCCTGTTTTGATGGCTTTGAAAAGGAGTGCAGATAGGAAAAAGCCTTCCAAAAGTCTAGAGGACATTCCATCAGCCACCTCAAGTGAGCACAAAGCTTGTGTGTGTCTCCCATGACCCCCAGTTTAGTTTAAATGTGTTAATGCTGGTCTTCCACACAGCCTTGCCAAGTCATGGCTTTGTTTTTGTTTCTTGTTAAGCTGTATAGAGCTTGTACTGTGCAACCATATTATTTTCTCATACAATTTAATTTTCAGTTATTTGTGTTAATTTTGAAACAACGCTGGTCTGTGAAGCAGACATCTTCCAGAAACGCACTATGTTGATAGTGATTAACTGTTTCCTGGATAGTTTTTCAATAGTGAATGTATTGGCAATTACCCAAATTGGTAATGAGCAACAACTGCCACTACCTCCTGGCTTCTTGCTTGGACTGAATTAGTAGACAGTGAAAGCATGAAAAACTCAGTTTAGTAATGTTTCACCCGAGTGTGTCCTACCAAACTCACTTTGAGATATTATACTTAAAATGAATTCCTGACTTCCCTCAGTAGCCTCCTAGGATTTCTTTTTTTGAATTATTTTTCCTGTTTCCCTTCACCCTGCCCCTGAGACTTTTCATGCTTATCTCATGTCTAATGGGGAAGACACAGACTGAACTTACATCAGTAAACTGAAGTGTGGAGATGTAGTTTTTGAAAGATGTTGGCTATTGTTAGCAAGTTATTATTCTAATACTGCTTATGCTATTGCTTGCTTCTAACTAGTTTCTAGGTTTTAGGTCTGTACTAACACTGTTGCAACAGCACGCTGATAGAAACCGCCAACACGAGACCCCTGCTTTGGATGTAGGCTTGGAAGTAGTGTGTGAAGTAAATGCATCTCCTGAATTTAACCATTCCCATGGCTTTGCTGGTTTGTTTGTGGATTTTGTCCTCATTACTCTTAATTCTGTGATTACCACTGCCATCCATTTTACACTCAACAATGAAGTTTCTAACTATGTGTTATTTTTTCCTGCACAGACAAAGAAAAAATAAATAATCCAAAGGAAGAATTAGCTCTTAGTGCTGAAGATGGTAAATATCTTTTGTGTCTGCATGGAAATTTATTGCTTTTTCAATGTCCTCTGTTTGCTACTGAAGGTGTTTTTTTTTAAACCAAGAATTGTATTGTGCTTTTAGATTTTATTAACCTCAGCATGACTGAAAAGGTTTTGTAGAATTCTGTTGTGTTGTTTATTCTTAAGGAATGTATTTATGTCCTCCTATATTTGTAGAAGCTGTGCCATTTATCAGTGTATTATTTTGGCCTTCAATCTTTCAGCCTATGGAACAATTACTGAAATCATAGGGAGCTTTAAACACTAACTCAGTTGAAAGACTTGGCCTAAGTAAACATTGAATTTATCTGTTCATTTGTTGCATTATAAGATGCAAGATGACTTTTGCTAGTGCAAAACACTCTTCAGAACACATCAGTCGAAAAGGAACATCTCTTAAAATCCCTGTCTCAGTCCTGTAAAGTAGAATTATTCTAAGAAATGGATGAACTGCTGGATCAGCTAGTGCTGATACCATCAGTCCATTAGTGCATTACAGATGTCTTACTGTTGAGTTTTTCTTTATACCTTTGGAAATTCCAAATCTCAGGAAAAAAAAAAAGCAAACCTGCTCCAAGAACGTGTCTAAATGAACAGAATTGAAAATCATCAAATAACACTGAATAGGATGGAATATAACACACAATTTTTTATTTAATGCATTGGAGCACTACAGTTTTAAAAGCGCACAGTTGCATTTTTTTCATGTTTTAGATGCTTTAAAGCATTTTGCATGTTACTGGCACAAAGTATAAAGAGTATAATCATAGCACATTAGGATGCATACAACAACATTCAGCAAAGAAACAAGACTTAAGCACCATTCTGCACTCTGCTTTCAAATGAAGACCCCTACTGAAATCCTGTTTTGCATTCAATGTGAATGTGTAGAGACTTATCTGAAAAGAGTAGGGTTTTTTGAGTTAAGTTTATTAAGAGTGAAGTTATGAAAAAATTACACACAGTCAAATTGATAGCTGTACAGACAGAATCTCTTGAAAAGGCTGTTCATTTAGAACAGTGAAAAACTTGATTTTTGTTTAGCTTGCACACTCATATTACCTTTGTTATGATCTGTTCTCCTCCAAGGAGAACAGAGACGCAAAACACAGAAACAGAACCATAGAATTGTTTAGGTTGGAAAAAAAAATTAGATTAAAGATCATAAAGTCCAACTGCAAATCCAGCATTGCCAAGTCTACCACTAAGTCCCTAGTTCTGCATTTACTCTTACAACTTGCTCCATGATGCATCAAAATGAAACACCTAATACTCATAAAGACTTACTATCTAAACCACTACTAAAAGACTGGAAGGAATAAAAACCCACAAAGTTTATGGGGCCTGGGGAAGTAAAACATTTCCCACATATAAAGTATATTGATGCTGTTTATAACATTGCAAAACTGTGCTACTGAGTGACTGTCGTCAACACTGCACTGACCAGGTCCGAAACCTGATCAGCATCCAGAGAGGACTGAAAATGCAACAGGAAGTGAGTAATAGGATTCTTCCAGCAGACAGTGGAGAGACTTCTCCACTGATACTTAAACTAATAAATTAAAAATACTTTTTGATTTAACAACTAATAAGTTACACATCTGTACGTGCATCTAACTGCATACTGATGATAACTGGTATGTTGAGCATGAGCTGAGCTTCGACAGCAAAAGCTTCACTCACCTTGCAAACAATCCCATCATGTGAAGTGTTTCATTTTATGCAATAGATATGTGCCCCTGTAGCTGGCTGTTAGTTGCCAAATAATTCTCTGTGCACTCAGTATTGGTGCATTTCGCAATGTGCATGCAGTCCAGCTTTAGTTTATCATTACATATAAGTGGGGTTATAGCATGGAAAATTCTGAGAATCATGGGCTTACTGCTAACTGGATTTTTGCAAAGCTAGCTTGTGCAGTTATGCTTTGTACAGTGAAAGAGCACAGAAGTGAACTTTAGTAGAGATATACAAATGTGGTAGAGATGGGCTGAAAAAAAGTGCGTCATTCATGAGATATACATCTTATAATTAAGTAGGAATACTTGAGACTTCCTTCGTCAGCTCTAAAATTTGCTTGATTTACACAAATGTTCCTTTTGCTGTTAAATAGACTAAGTAAATAAAAGAACATAGTTCGGCTTGTAAGAACCTTATCTTGATTCTAATATTGATGATGACATGGTTAGTGCATGAATGCACTTATTCTTGTTCTAGGAAGAAAATCTAGAAGATAAACTGAAAATGCTTGCCTTATTACTTTTGACTGGAATTTGCTTGTAGCACCCAGGCTTGTATATCATGTTAAGCAACTTCCACCAAAGTTCTTTACCAAGTGTTATAGGAGATGTCAAAGTAGATTATTCTTCCTAATGATAGCTCCTCTGAGTCCTAGGGGGAAAAAGCCCCCTTGCATCCAAGTTCTAAACTGATTGTGCATGTGCATGTATTTCATCCGAAGTGGTTTGTTTCTAACCGTGTCCTGTTATGGAATCTCACTGTTCTGAAGTACAAACATGGTTTGAAGCCTTTTGAATTACTGCTCTTCAGTTTCCACAGTGCCTTCACAGCCTGATAAGCTGTTTTCCAACCCTGAAAAACTTAAAGGACTTAGCAAGTCGGTACCATCATTCCTACAGGAAGAGGTAAGCTCCCTCTCTGAAATATAGTTTTAGGCACCTGTCTGTTAACTCCATTCAAGTGAAATTCCCAACGACATGCCGTTCCTGATTTTAGCTGTTATCATCATCATAGTGTGGACCTTGGAACAAGCTTGAGGCCGTATTCAAATCTCTTAAAATGACACTGAAGTTTGAAAGTGATAAGCAACTTGAACTGTCTGGTCTATGATGTCTATGATTCTGTATCACAAAATCACAGAACAGTCTGGTTTGGAGGTACCTTAGAGATCATCTAATACCAAATCCCCTGCCATGGGCAGGGACATCTTCCCCTAGACCAGGTTGCTCAAAGCCCCATCCAGCCTGGCCTTGAACCCTCCCAGAGATGGGTCATACACAACTTCTCTGGGCAACCTGTGCTGGTGCCTCACCACCCTCAGAGTAAAGAATTTCTTCCTGTTATCTAACCTAAACCCACCTTCTGTCAGTTAGTTTAAAGGCATTCAGTTTAAAGCCATTAAAGTCACTTAAAGTGTCTAATCACTATCTATCCCTCCCCTATAAAAGGACTTAGGATTTTCCTGTTTTTCAAACAGTCCATGTAACAGGACTGATTATCCACACGGCTTAACAGTTACTTCAGTCTCTGGATTTATTTTGTACAGTTCCAAATAGCACTCTCCAAATCAATTTTCCGTCAAGAAGCCCTGTGCTAAGTAGGATGGACATTAGTCAGTCCTTACCTTTAACCTCTGAAATGGGAAACAATCCTGGCCTCCTTTTACTTACGAGTATAGACATAACTAGAGAAGCTACAATCAACAGATTTTTTTAAAGACTTATTGAAACTACTTATATGCTATATATTTATTTATATAAATAATAATTTCCTTAATGTGTGTAGAAATTGTTTACTAATCTTGCATCTCTTATTAGAAGATATATGACATCATTTCAAAAGTGTTTCATGGAGAGGGGAATGTAAATTGTTTGTGGGTGGAATACAACAGAGAGATTATGTTGTCCATAACTGCTTGTGTAGGAAGATGCCAAGGCTTACATGTGGGAAGTAAATCAATTTTTTAGTGCAGAGATAGCATTGAGATGGAATGGGATTGAAAGCACATAACCTGATAATGACCAAGGAAACCAAAACTGCATTTCCCTGGCGGAAAAGCAGGGTCCTGCTTGCCCTCTTATAAGAAAGACTTTGCAAAACCCATTTGCTGTACCCAGTGCTGTTCTGTGCATGTTACCTTCCAGCCAGCTGCCCTCCTGATACAGGCATTGAACTGATAGCATTTGCTATGTAGCAGAAAGGGACTGGTAAGAGACCTGAGCACTATCACTTCCATAAGTTTATGCATGAGAAAGTGATGTAGAGAAGTTGAATATATATAATTGTCTGAATACACTTATCTTTGTACTTTTTCATTGCTATTTGAGATTTAAAACAAAAAAACCCTGAACCTAGTTGCATTGCTGCATAAAAAAAAATTATCAGTGTATGTTGTTCATCAGAAAAATCTGCTTTCAACTTTAAATGCATGACCTAATTCAAGAAAGATTATTCATGTCGCACTACAAGGGAATTTAAATTCAGGTTTCCACTGAGTCTCAATCTGCATTAAAATTCTGCTTGTTTGGTTTTGTTTTTTCAATGTTCTTTGTGATTATAAAGAAAGTACAACGGACTTTCTTTCTGTGATGTTTTTGTAGAGTGATGACAGAGAGACAGATACAGCGTCAGAAAGCAGTTATTCCTTTGGCAGAATCAAGAAGAGTCCCAGCTCTCTAACCAATCTTAGCAGCTCTTCTGGCATGGCCTCCTTATCCTCTGTATGTAAACCAAAGCCTTGTTTTAATGGCACTTTGCTTTTGCTAATCTCTTAAACATTATTTCATCGCTCTTCTCATTCCTCTTGTCTTTCTTCCCTTGGCATTTCTGTCTCTTTCTTTCTGTCTCTGTTATATGAACATAACGTAATTGCTTGCATGAAATTGCCTGAAGCAAATAAAATAAAATTAAATAGATTTAATTTTTTTTTTTTCTAGTAACATATTGGAGCCTGTTCAGGACTCTGAACAGAGAGATGGATTTTATCCTAAGAGCTTACATTTGTAGCTGAAAATGAGGAACAATTTATGTAGAACAAACATTTAGGAAAGGAGAAAGGGGGAGAAACAAGTGAAAGCAGAAGACATTATTGGAATGTTGGATATGCAATTGAGTCAGTGAATTAGCTAACCAAAAGTCATTTGTTTATGTGGACTTTTAGTAAGGAAGAGTAGAATTTTTGGGAATGATGTTGACATTAAAAAAAAAATTATACATCTTTCTCTTTCTCTATGTGTAGTGTTTAATTTTCAGTGCTTTATTTAGCTACATATTTAGGTGCATAATTCAGCCATATAGACTTTATCCACTAGTCTTTTTGTTGGTATTTTCGGAAGTCTTAAATTCTTAAGCTCTGCTTTCTGCAAGGAAGATGAGATGAAGAGATTTAGAAGTAATATTAATGCAATAAACGCATTCAAATTTTTTTGTAGAAAACTTGGTCTAACACCTTTGATTTCAAAATATCTCTCTTTTGTTAATCTTCTGGCTGAGGAGCTTGTAAAATGGTGTCCATTACATTTTGTTATTACATCCGAAGAGACACAGTTGATTTCTTTACTGTCTGAATTCTTAGCATAACTTCTACCCTAATCTTGAAGTATCTGGTGAAATGCAATGCCTGGAAAACTTTTCTCCTCTTGTATGATGCAGGTGAGCGGAAGTCTAATGAGCATCTATAGTGCAGACTTTGGCAATGTTGATGTGAAGGGGAACATTCAGTTTGCTATTGATTATGTAGAACAGCTGAACGAGCTCCACATTTTTATTTGCCAGTGTAAAGACTTGGCAGTAGCAGATGTTAAGCGACAGCGCTCAGACCCGTAAGTACAAAGAACATATTTATTTTCTAATGGAATTTTTTCTTTTAATGTGAAAATGAAAACTGATGGGTTTATCCAATCTCTCTAACCTGTTAGAGTAAACAACCCAATAAATAGATGAAGAAGCTATACATGCTTTGTGGTTTTTTTTTTCAATCTGATTGAATATAGAATTACCACTATAAAATGGTATATATATTAATATGGGAAATTTAAAATTTTAAGAATATTAAATTCTCTTTTAAAATTCTACTTTTCAGATGGTAGGATTAGAGTCTATAAATATATCTGGGCCTGCTATAGTTATATATTCTGTATTTTTGTGTTGAGGAGACATTTCAACAGATTTTCCATTGGAGAAGGGTATTATAAGGAAGTGGTGATGTTATACATCACCACTGTTGTTCTATTTCTTAAATGTACAAGCTGAACAACATAATGGTTACCTAAGAGGATTTCTTTCACTTTATAAACAAATACTTGTGTATTTTGGAAAAGGAAGTTGGAGAAGGGTGAGTTTTTTCTCTTCTAACAAGCCTGTCTAAATTTTAGGTATGTAAAGACCTACCTGCTTCCAGAGAAATACAAGCTGGGCAAACGGAAGACTTCTGTCAAAAAGAAAACTTTTAATCCAGTCTATAATGAAATACTGCGGGTATTTATCAAACTACTACTAGAAATTAAATACTGCATGTGTGATGTATGAGGAACTTTAACTTTTAGGCACAGGTCTAGATGCACTCAAAAGAGATGTTAGCATGAAAGGGATTGTTCTGTAGAGATGACTGTGTCCTTCCATTGTCCTTCACTCTACAGTGGACTCTGGATACAGCATTGAGAACATTGACTGTTTTATACTTCTTGCAAACAAATACAAGCCAAGTATGGTCTTAAGATGCTTGAAATAAAAAGGAAAGAGCTGAGTTTTATTGTTTGTTGGTTGGTTGTTGGTTGGTTGTTGGTTGTTTTCTGAAATGAAGAAATGACCAGTTATGGATTTATAAACCCAGACACATTTTTTCTAACCTTATCACTTTCAGACACAGCATTGATTAAAAATTCATCTTGTTTTAATTTTTTGTCCTTGTTTCTTCCTCTGGGCAGTATAAAATTGAGAAGGATCTCCTAAAGGACCAAAGCCTTAATATCTCTGTCTGGCACAATGATACCTTTGGGAGGAACAGCTTCCTTGGTGAAGTGGAGTTGGATTTAGGAACTTGGGACTGGAATGATCGATCCAACAAGCAGATCAACTGGTTTCCCCTCAAGCCAAGGGTAGGTTGGCTGTTTTGTATTTTCTGCTCAAGTTTCATAATTTGCAGAACAAAACAGGTATAACATGGTAGTCTTTAGCACTAATTTAACTTCACTAATTTTTAAGCTGCTCTGGGTAGGCAAATGTAAACAAATTTTAACAGGTGCCACGTTCCATCTATAGATGGTCCATGACTGTCTATGAGGAAGTGATATATTCTTGTGCCTTTCTGCAAGATAACTCTTGTTGAGGCTGATTTTTAAATGGATTAAGTGAGACAAACATTCCTAAAGAAATGAGTTTATAGAAATGCACTTTCTGTTTACAAAGAGTAAGTTTCCTGACTGGAAGAATATATTTTCTAGTTTTAAATAAGCATACAACAGTGGAAAAATGTGCCCTCAAAGCCTGTTTGTCTCCTCTGGCTCTAGTTTTCTGCTTTAGTAGAAGAGCTATGTATCTGAGTCACTGTCAAGTGATTAAAAATGCCCTAAAATCTCTCACATCCTGTAAACTGAGGGAAGACTAATTGATAAGGAAACAAGAGAAAAAAACTTGTCTCATGTAGAAGTCAAGCTGGTTCCAGTGGAATAATTTGCATGGTAAACTCTCTGTGCATGAACTGCAAAGTCTGAGATTTGTAGGTATACAGAGATTTTTTTATTTTATTTTTTTTAAATTTTTAAATTCAGACTTCAACAATGACTCTTAATCTAGAAAACAGAGGGGAGATGAAACTAGCACTCCAGTATGTCCCACACCCCATTGGAGGTAAGTGTTGCTGCTTTGCTTGGGTTTGTCAGGCCTTTGGGGGTTTTGTTCTTTTTCCTTTTTTTTTTTTTTTTTAGTTAAAAAAATCTGTTTAATGTTTTTCAATCACTTCAGACATATTTTTTTTAACAAAAAGTAGATTTTCTTTTTTATTCCTAGAGGATTGAGTCACCCTGCTTGTGAATTCAGTTAAGGATCCCAAAGATCACTTTGGGATCTTTTGCTATTTTTAAGGTTACTATGGAAGAAATTAGCTCATTGTTATAACCTAAGATTTGTAGTGCAATGTATGTGTAATAAAATTCTGTTTTCTCAATAATTTTAGAGGTTATAAATCATCAGTCAGGGCTATGATGTGCTAAATAAACAATGACAACACATTGAATCAAAGCAATACTAGATGTAGGAAATAGAAGTAAGTATTTAGAATGCAAAAATTTATAGCAGTATGATCTGTTTGGTTTAATCTTGTCTGAAATGCTGACAATGGGCAAATCTGAGAGTGAAGCCAGGCCAGGTCTTTAATCCAGACAGTCAGTCAGTCAATAATAATCAAATATATTTAGAACACAAAGGAGCTTTTTTGAAAGCATGAGCAGCAGTAAATGCTAACATCACATAGCATGAAGACAAGCTGATCTCCTTATCTAGGAGGCTTGGAAAGAGAAGACTAGTAGCTTGTTGTAATAAAAGAAAATTTTCTGTAGGAATGCAGACATGATGTGATCTTGTACTACTTTGATGGGATGAAGATTTCAGCTTCCAGAGTACAGAGAGCAATGTTGAATTAAGATGTGAGATAAGTCTAGGCTGAATATCACCTCTACAAATGGGCAGGAACTGCTGCATCATAGAAATTACCTTTAAAAGTGATCTGCTTAAGCAGATGTTTTGTTTTATTTTTACAGGAAAGAAGACTCTATCTACTGGTGAGGTCCACATCTGGGTGAAGGAATGCCATAACCTTCCTCTTCTGAGAGGAAACAGGCTCAACTCTTTTATTAAGTGGTAAGAATTGTTGAAGGCATCAAACATGGTGGACTAATAATGCTACAGTTGCATTTTCTAATTGTATCTTCATTTTTCTACATTCATATTAAAAAATCCCCACTGAATTGTTTTCTAATTCTCCTTTACTGTCACGCAAATTCTCCTGCAGGGCTTGCAACTTCAAGATGGTAAGTATATACCACCAAGTAAAAGTTACTGGGAGAATGTCCTGTGCAATCACTGCACTTTAGTTTTGTCTCTGTTACTTGGTGGAAGGACAGCTCAAACTCCGCCTGCTTTTATTCGCATTTAAACAAAGTGTGTTTGTGCAAGACTATGGTTTAGCTTAGCAAACCGTGGGAGGAGACAGAAATGAGAAGCATAGCTGTATTTCTTCCCCCTTCCTTTTCATATACAGCCTAAAAATGTAAAGAGACAAGAATAACAAGATGGTTGGGGAAATCTCTGGCAGCAACAAAAGGTTTTGGTGTCAGTATAATACAGCAAGTAAACTCACTTGTACCTCTTCCCCACTTGACTTGCCCTTCCATCCTCTGAAGCACAAGGGTGGATACATGCTGCCAGTATTGCTTGTAAGGAACTGAGAATATGACCCTTGTCTTCATCTCCAAAAAGCATCTGATCTTCAGTCATGTTCTAACATGCCAAGCACAACATTAATCAGTAGCTTTTGCCTTTTCAGTATGTTTAATGCAGGCTATGGTGTTTAAGTGCAAACTGACAGTGTTTTTTCTTTCTGAAGTACCATTCTTCCAGACACTAGCAGAAAAAGTCGCCAGAAAACAAGGACAGTTGCAAAAACTACAAACCCGGTATTCAACCACACCATGGTGTATGATGGCTTTAGACCAGAAGATTTGAAAGAAGCCTGCGTAGAACTCACAGTCTGGGACCACAACAAACTAGCGAACCACTTTCTGGGAGGTCTCCGGATAGGCCTTGGAACAGGTACTGGACAATTACCACATTAATACTTAATTTATTAAATAGTCTTTCCTGGTTTTTTTCCTTATTTCCTTTCTATTTCTTCTTGTTTTGAGAAGATCACTGAACAACCTTTCAGTTATCTATTTACTGAAGGGTTCCATTCAGAAGCTTACCTATTCTTCAGCGCAGGTCCTGAAATGTTAATAATAGTAGTGTTAGCACGACTGACAACTAAGGCAAAATATTAGAAATAAATCTTTGTCTGGGCATACATTGTATCTGGTATTGTTTTGATTACAAGAATATGCTATTCCTGCACCCAAAATCGTGATAACATCTTACAAACTTATGCGTGCAAAAACTAGGTGTGTGGTGTAAAGACAGCATGGGGTGGAAATAAAAGGATAGATGAGGAATGCATGATAAGATTTGAAAATCTTGAATAGGAAAAATTATAAATGCAAATAAGTTTTTAGCATAAGGGGAATATAAGACATGCAGATATAACAACAGTAAAAACATACTGTTCTTCTATTTGTCCCTTTCATTCTGCTCCCTGGTCTGAAGGGAAGATGGTTTTGGAGTTTTCTCAAAAAATACAATGTAAAAATTACCTTTCATAAATTAACTTTTTGCATAGTTCACCAGAATAACCTAAATTACAAATTAGAATAGTAAATCTCAATTTGAATTTTAGAATACTTGAGGTTCCATTTCAGTACAAAAATCAGTATCTTGTTTTGTTATTAAATCTTCTCAGATGTATGGGAAATTAACATCTTTCTCCTTGAGATTGTGACAAAAAATTAAGGATAACAAGGAAAAAGCCTGGAGAAAGATGACAAAGTCTCTGTGTGAAACTGTGACTAATTGTATTTGATAGAAGTGTTCAAGAGCAAAAACGCAGGACTGGATCTCCAAAGCACTAGGTCAGCTACCTCAGGAGGTGTAATCATTTTAGAGCAGGCAGATTTGATTGTCTGCTCTCAACTCTGCAGCATATTAAGTAATGTTTCTCTTAAAACTGACATTTTTCTAGGCAAAAGCTATGGAACTAGAGTAGACTGGATGGATTCCACTTCAGATGAAACTGCCCTTTGGGAGAAGATGATGAACTCTCCAAACACCTGGATAGAAGATACACTACCTCTCAGGATGCTTATGGTTGCAAAATTGACAAAATAAGGTGGCTTTTTAATTGCTAGTGTCAAAAGGAAACCTTGGGAATGAAACTGAAGGTGCAGGGGATAAAACTTGGAAGAGGAACACAGTAGCAGTTTTGACAGTTTTTGCTCTGTTGCCGTTCTGGTTTTGTGATGTCATATGTCACTTCATATTTCAAATTAAACATTTGCCCACAGAACATTATGTAAATTTGTAGTTGTACATTTCTAGGATATGTAAGTTGCTTCTGCAGTGAAAGAAGCATGACATGAAGTGGTACTGTTGATGTCCCATTCTACCATGCGCAGAGGACTAAGTTCCAGCGTACTGTAAAAAATCAGGGTTATAAAAAGTTTGCTATATATATATGTGTTAATCATCTTGCTAGTCTGCAATACTTACTCTTAAATACTGAAGACATAAAGATGATTTTTTTTTTTCTAGTGCTACTCATAAAGATCTAACTGTGCCAATTTTAGTGATGACAAGTATGTTGAGTATTTATTCTTCTAAGTGTGCTTGTTTGTACCTGTATCTATTAGCTTGGTTTTTCGCAAGAAGTAACTTACCTGTGCTTCAGTGCCGCCATTAGGGGACCGGTGGGACTATGGTGGTCTTGGCTTAAATAGTTTTGCAGCATAAGAAATAAGACTGGAATTTGTAACTTGTAGAAATGCATGCTACTAATAAATAAATGCATGAAGTACTAGATGTATTACTTTTTAAAATAAAAAGAAGCCTATTAAGACTAAATAGGAATTCAATGTTTATTAAACCCAAGTGGTTTATGTTAACCATTCAGCTTGCAATACAACAAAATGCAGAGAGAAAACATTTTAGAAAATAAATGCACATTTATTTGTTCCAAATGTGCATGTCTAAAAGCCAGTGAAATCTTGCAACTTCAGTTAGATGGGAGGAGGGAGCTCTTCACAGTTCCAACTCAATTGCTTGATTTAACTTTAGAAATTTAAATGCTACTTGGAATTTATTATACACTATGAATGGGAAAAAGGGAAGGTGCTATTCAACCTGCTGGGGAACCCACTTTCACTCTCATGAACCAGGCAGCCTGTGGAGTTCACAAACGCCAAAAGTAGTTGCAAGTCTTTCATATCTTACTGCTTCAGGTGTTTTGTATGATTGGTAGCTGCCACAGCTTCCACTTTGCCAGACAAATACACTTCTTATATGACCAGGGAACATGTGCATATGACCCTTCAGGACAATGTATTTGTACTGAAATGGTAACAGCAGTTGGTTTGATTCTATATCCTTAAAGAGACACTCCTGAAAGGGTGGTGATTCTAGAAAAGAGGCACCTAAGTTATTTGTATTCACTGCCTATATGAATTAATTTTTCACCTGAAAACATATGTTGCTTTTAACATGACCTACAGTTTCACAGGATTAAAAGCCGAGATTGAGGACTTCTCCAAGCTTGTGGAAGTTCTCTTTCCTTTTCCAAATTTGTGTGGCTTTGAGAGTATCAGCAATGTTTGTTTGCTGAGAAACACTGCCAGCTCTTTCAGCCACCCTGGTGGGGCTGGCCCAGTTCCAACCAGGCCATATGAGGTCATGAGCTCTGGGGTGACCGAATTCAGCGTCTCGCCTCCATGGAGACAGAACCTCACAGCGGGAGGGCTAACAAACAGACAGGGGAAAGAAAATACCTGGTAAGAAAATAGTTTTCTCTTCTTCAGCCCTGCTCTTTATTGTATTTCCACTGGATGGCCTAAACCTCTCAGTCCTTCTCCCCCTTCTCCATTATTTTGAAATGTTTTGGCAGGATCCAAGGTAGCAACAGCAGTGGGAGAGTACGGGATAGTGGAGACAGAGCCGGTGTCCGAACTGATGGTCACTACTACACAGCTCTGAAACTCTACCTGCTTCACAGGTGTTAATCCATTTTTGCTGTACATTATTTTTCATCCTTGCTTTAAACTGGTGCCTTCTCACATCCTATCTTTATCTCCAGTCAAAGCCCAGGAATTCACAAAACCTGATTATCAGCATGCTGTTTCATGTGCTGTGTAGTTTCAGGTCTGCGTCCACATGAAAAACTTGTAAACGAGTTTTAGGCTAATTTTTCAAATGTCTGGGTAGCATACTGTGTGATTGGGCACCAATAATCATTTGGGTACCTATGTAATACAAATATTTCCCTTATTTAGAAGAAACAGCCTTTTAAAATTATATGCCTTAAATAATTCAGCAAATCAGTGTCAAAACTCAAATGAGGAACTGCTTCTCCAGTCACAAAGTCTTTGTATCACAGGGCATTCAGTAATCATTAGCATTGTATAGATCTCTTATTTTATTCATAAATCTTTAGCGTGAGATAAGACTATTCAGTTATTTTTAATGAGTAATATACTATTAAAATCTTACAAATTAATTAGAAGGCTGATGTAACCCTCTCTTTATTTGCAGTTATAATACAGAGTCTGTAGGAGAAAATAAAGGCAAAGGAGAAGGATTACTTAAGGAATTATTTACAGATTTATCACTTACAAGCTTTTTACCTAAATATGATAGTAGTTCTTGTGGCTATAGCAGCAGGACTTTGAGAAGGAATAATTAGCAAAGCTAAATCAGCAAATGAATAGGCTTGCATAAATACTAAGCTTATATCCTTGCTTTTGCTCATGGAGTCTGTAAACCTTCTTCTCAGTCTGCCTGACTCTGAACCAAAGGATGTGGGGAGGGCTATAGGGCTGTATGGTTTCAGGCTGACATTGGTTTTGGGAGGTCTTGTCCCCCCATATCAGTTTCTCCGGACTTCCAGAGAAACTCCACCAGCTTATAGCACTGGTGTTAGCCACACAACCACTGGGTAATGTTTAATCATGCTGAGTGTCACTAAGAGAAGCAGCCACTATAACATTTTTTCTTGTCTTTGTGTGAGACAGGGGCTCCGTGGCTCAGGATGAGAGAGGAGCAGGGATGGCCAACTCTACAGGTGATCTAGAGACAGGCAAAGACATGGATGATCTGACAAAAGGCCTGGAAGAACTCTGTGATATCTCTAAGGAGAGGAGGGAGAAAGCACTGCTGCTTTTACATCTAGAACAGCAGCATCATCTTATGTCTATGCTGACAAAGAAAGCAGACGACACACAAAAACTCTGCAGAGCCCTGGAGCAGCTCAACATGGAGCTGGAGAAACTAAGGACAGAGGCTGCTCTGAAAATTAAAACTCAGACCCTGCAGATTCAGCATTTGGAGGGGCGCTTCATGGATCCGGCCAACAACCATGAAAAGATGATCCAGTTCAAGAATGAACACAGGAAACAGCACATGCAGCTGTGGGAGGAGAACAAGCACCTTCGGCAGGAGAAGGAAGTGCTCTTCAGCCAGGCTGTGAGGGAGAAGGAAGCTGAAGTGCTCCGGCTGGCTGCCCAGGCCAGGAAGCTCTCACAGCAGTTATACTCCCTGCAGGAGAAACATACTTATGAGAGTTGCAGAGCCCAGGAGAGAGAAAAGGAGCTGCTAGAAGCTCAGAGCCACCAAGCAGGTGCCTACACCCGGGAAATGGATTCACTGAAGAAGCAGCTGCAACTTCTACAGGAGAGGCACCAACAAGCTGTTGCAAGGGCAGAGCAGGCAGAAAGTCAGCAGAGGGCTCAGAGCACCGAACTGTGGGCTGAGCTGGAGAGGGCACACAAGGAAAAAGAGCAGCTATTGAACCTGGCCAGGGAGAGGGGCAAAGCTCTGCAAGATAAGGAACGGGAGATTCAGCAGCTGGGGGAGAAGCTGGAGGTTGCGGAAGAAGCCATGCTGAGAGCAGGAAGGTGCTATGAGAAGGAGGCAGCAGCAGTGGACAAAGATCTGAAGGTCCAACAGCTCCAAGGACAGCTGGAAAGTAGCAAGCAGGCGTACAATGAGCTCTCTCTGCGGATCGATGCTTACAGAAAGCACAGCATGGACTTGCTGACTAAAGAAAGAACACTGAATGTCAAACTCTGTCACTTTGTTGCATAACTGCATCGTTTTCCACTGTTCTCTCCTTGGCAGGTGCCTCTGTGGCAACACATCACTGCATTTTGTTCCTTTCCGTGGGGCCATCTTCTGGATTCTTTGTAATATCCTCACCAGTTTAAACCTCCCTACAAGGACTGGTTTTTGTCATTACACTTTTACCTAAGTAAATCTCTACACTGTTAAATCTGAACGGGTATTCATTAGTGTGGAAAACGTAAAATAGGAATTTTATCAGTTTGCTCCTAATCTCTGATGAAACATAGGTTTTATTTTTTTTTTTTTTTAACAGTTAAAAGCACTTTATTTTTCGAGATGGCCAAAAGCTCAAACCCTTAGCCTTTTGTCCTTGATTCTTCCTTGAAGTTCAACAGAGGTTGGGCATGTAAGAGGTAACACTGAAGGTCCAAGGAAGAAATCCCACCTTGCAATGTCTCCATCATAAATGGTTATAATTCAGGAACTTAACAGGTTAAATACAAGAACAAGTAATACACAACAACTGATGGCCAAGCAAATTACCATGTATAGTTTTCTAGTAGTTCTACTGCAGTTTTCTAGTAGTTTTCTGCAGTTGTTTTAATCTTGTTTAATGCAATAGCATTTTTATATGCCCATTCAACTCAAAATAAAAAAAATAATAAATTTTATTAAATAAAATAATTTGTCAAGTCTTTTGGGTGATTTCAATAATCTTTGAAACAGATTGAGGTTCTGGATGTTCTGCCAGGATTTTTTTTTGTGGTTTTAGGTGCTTTCTGTAGAAAAATAGCGATACACCCTTTCATTTTGTGTATGTCTGGCAGTTTTTGCCGAAAAAAAAAATCTTTCCTGTCAGCATTCTGGGATACAGAGACCTCCCACTCTCTCTTGCTTGTCTCCTAGGCAAGGAGGTAGTTTTTAGCTGCTAGAGGTTCATCTGCTGCTCTTTCAGCCTCCAACAAAAAAAAACAACAACAACAACAAACCCAAACAAAAACCAACAAAACATAATGGGCCAATCCCCCACCAGGGCTGTAGGCAGCTGCCTCCCCAAGTTCTTTGCCACATGCATATACCTTAAGATAACTCAAGGATTTAGATAATGGCTTGAGTATCTCTTGGTCCTGAACATCTACAAAGCCACAGCATCACATCAAACTTGGTATCTATTGATCTTGTGTACAGAAGTGATCAGAAACAGCAGGTCTGGAGATCTTCCAGCCTGTGACCTGTTCATCTCAAGGCCTTACTGAACCAGATGTATTCTCTAGCTCTGGCACAGGTTTCCCAAAGAAGCTGTGGGTGCCCCATCCCTGGAAGTGTTCAAGGACAGGTTGCATGGGGCTTTAAACAACTTGATCTAGTGGAAGGTGTCCTGGCCCAGGGCAGGGGGTGTGGAACTAGATGGTCCCTTCCAACCCAAACTGTTCTGTGATTCTGACTCTACACAAGTAGTAGTTTCCAGCAGACTTGTCTTCTGAACTTCCCTGCATTCTCCTTGAATATTTCTCACTGCCTGCTGCATGACAAACTACAGCATTTCTTTTGATCCTGGCTCCTACAAGTGTCATTCCACATGTTTTATGGACTACATCCTCCTACTTTTTAACCATACCCTTCTGTGCCCACCCCACGTGCACATTTAATTTTAATGCTGGCATCTAGAGTGTAAATGCCAACTGACCGAGGCTACACACTAGACTCATGGTCTGAGGAAGGGACACAGCAGGGCTAGAGCTGGCTGTTCTGTTTGAAACAGTCGGTAGGCAGGGAAGAGTGACTGTATCACTGTGGTCACTGCAAAAGAGTCTGGGACCAGATGCCTAAAATACTCTAAATCTGGGCAGAGGACACCCACTCACTGTGTGACAGAACAGTCCCACAGGCCTCTGTGCATGGTGGTGGGAAAGCCCCCAAATCCTGCAGTCCCCAGGGACATGCCCCCTCCCTTTCCTTGGTGATGTCTATGAGTGAGAGACCTTCCTCCCTACTCCCTCACCCATCACACCCCCCCCCCCCGCCACCTCATACACCCCAAACTCCATCTCCTATACACTTCTCATCCCCGTCAACTACATGTGCCTCCCTTCACAGCCACCCCCTACTCTCACACACCCTGTTGTCCACAAAAATTGGATTCATGGTATGCAACAAGCCAATAATTACACACTCGAGAGAGATGTTATTTATTTGAGTTGCAGAACCCTGGGTGCTTGGTGGTGTTCCACAAATCGAGCACACCAACTATTGAAACTTTTAAGTATTTATACATTTTAGCAAACAAAGGCATTAGTGTTCATGGGCTTCAAGTTACATAGGTCTCTTATTAATTGGTATTCTATCTTCCACTGGTTAATGATTCTCTGGCTTCTCATATCAATTAGTCCACATGCTCAGTCTTTCTCTTCTTTTGGGTCAGTGGGCTGTGAGCCAGTGGTCATGATCGCCTCCTGCTGGAATTACCTTTTACCCCATTAGAGCTGATTTCAGCACAATTGCCGAGTTGGGTTTATTTCTTTCTTATCTCGGGAGTTCTGCCAGATGCCCTTGTGGCCTGTAAATTCTGCGTTCTTTGTGTCCGCTATCAATGGTACATCCTTCTCCCCAGGCTCTGTTAACCTCCCCCTGTGTCTGAGATCCTTGAAGCATGTCAAGCCCTAAAGCTTAACGAGGCAATTCTACCGACAAGTAATTTGTCTTTCCAACCCCTGGACATCACTCAGAGATCGCTTGCCTGCTGCCTATCTGTTTCACTGATTAAATCTCCCTTCTCGCTGATTAGGCTTGAAAGTGTACGAAGACCAAACGTCCAAGACCATCCTTTCTTAAGCAAATGTTTACATTTTCCCCCGTTCGAAATGCCCTCCGCACCCACTCACACACGGTTCCCCTCACCCCTCCCCGCCCCCGCCATTCCACCTTCCCGGCCGCCGCTTTCCCGCGCGCGGGCGCAGTCGCGCGGCGCCCCCTCCCGCCGCTTCCCGACAGGCCGCGCGCCGGGAGCGCCGGGCCGCAGCCTCGCGCCGGTTCCTGCCCTCGGGCATCGTCCCTTCCCGTCCCGCCGGGCCCGCGCCCGCCCCCGCCATGCGCCACAGCCTCACGCAGCTGCTGGCGGCCTCGGCCGGCGGGACCAGCCCCTCGGGTGCCGTGTGGCCGCTGCCCGGAGCGGGGCAGGCCCCGAGAGGGCGGGATGTCGGCGGGGAGGGGGACCCGGGCCCCGCGCGGCCCAAGCCCCCGGGCGCCTCGGAGCCGCGGCGGCAGGAGAAGGAGGCCGAGGCGCCCAGCGGCCCGCTGGAGGTGTGGGAGCAAGAGGACTGGTTCCCGGGGCTGGAGCTGGGAGACCTGCTGGAGGCGGCCCGGCCGGACTGGGACCTGGAGGCGGAGCTGAGCGGCTGTTTCTGTGAGGAGCCGGAGCCGCTGCCCCCGCCGGGCCAGAGCTCGCGGCCAGCGGTGCCCGGGCGGCGGAGCGGCGGGGCCGGCAGCCGGCTGAAGGCGGCGGCGGCGGCGCGGCTGAACCGGCTGAAGAAGAAGCAGTACGTGCTAGGGCTGGAGAGCCGCCTGCAGGGCCTGGCTGCCGAGAACCGGCAGTTGCGGGACCGCAACCGCGGCCTGAGCCGCCGCCTGCGAGAGCTGGAGCGGGAGAGCAGCTACCTGCGGGCCGTGCTGGCGAACCAGAGCGCGCTGGGGCAGCTCCTGAGCCGCCTGGCCGGGACCCGCGCCGGCGGGCTGCAGCTCAGCACCAGCCTCTTCAGGGACACGGGCAGCCCCCGCCGCCAGCACCAGCACCTCCAGCCCGCTGGCGAGAGCAGCGACCACGACTACGCCCTGCCCAGCTCCCAGCCCCGCGGCCTGGAGGAGGCGGCCGTGGGGACTGAGGCGGAGGAGGAGTGGGCGGCCCCCGGCGGGATCTGCCTGCACGTGGACCGGGATCAGGTGTCGGTGGAGTTCTGCTCCATCTGTGCTCGGCGGGCGGCGGCCTCCTTCAAAATGTAGGGTCAAGTACCTGCTGCAAGTACTCGTGGGGTTCTCACCCCTAAGGGCCTCGCGTCGCGGCGGAGGAAACAGGCGATGGTGCGGAGGAAAAGAATCAATACAGTGGTGATGGGGTGGTATTGGGGGAGATGCAGAGAAGGGGGACCTGGCACTTAAGTGGCCGGGGTAACAGAAAAAAATCCTCTCGAACGGCACGTTGGGAGCCAGACGGTGGCCTTGGTTCAAGGTGCTGTGAATCTGGCGTGTGGACGGTAGTGGTGTGAGCCTGTTTGGCGTTAGGAGTCGCGCAGAGCTGTGTGCAGCAGTGCGACAGTGGTCGTGCAGACTGACACGCGTGGTGCACACGCGGAGGTGCCGCCGGAGCCCGGTCGCAGCACTTGGGTGAAAAGATCATGCCGACCCGATGCATGAAGGTGTGCTCGGCTCCGCTTCGCAGTAAAGATAACGCTGACTACCCGGTCTTGAGTCAGATAATGTCTAGCCTGCTTTCCTGAGGAGCCGAAAATGCTTGCTTAGAAAACCAAACCAAAAACTCCATCGTCACTGGACAGACTTAAGAAAATAGTAATGATCGGCAAAAGAAAGCATGCATATAAAATTGTACTGCATCTCAGTTATACATTACTATTAAAACCTCTCTGACAGTTTCTCTTTTAGGTGCTTGCCCTGCCAGGCTCCGTTGTGTAGGGGTTAAAGAACAGTCGTTTTCCACCTCGCAACCTGGTAAGGATCAATATATTCCCATAATGCGGTATCAGACAGCTTGCTTTGCTTATCCCAGTCTCTTGTAATGACTGGTTCAGGAAATAATTTCTCTGGTCCTTGGCCTACTCTGCCGAAATGTTTCTAGCTCTCAATGGTAACTAATAGTGAAAGCTACAATCACATCATTCTCATTAGCTGTTTTCCTCTTTTCCTTTTTGAAACTGATACATTCACTACATAGCCAACACACAGCTACATTTGGAATTAAAAAAATGCTCATGCCATTTGAAATAGAAATTTTCTATTAAACCAAGTATCTGATGAGCTGAAAAGGGAAAATATGCTAATAAAGGGGATGTGCATTTATAGCTTTAATCACGGGGGACTGTCCCAAAAGTGTAAGTACATTGCTTTTTAAATTAATTTTAAAAAAGTAAATTTGTGACCTGTTAGTTTAAAATACTGTCCAGTGTTAGGGATGCACAGTACCTTTCAAAAGTCCTTCTCTAGCTTGCTCTAATGAATGATGCAGGGTTATGCCTGATTAAACAGAACCTGAACACTGGTTAAATCTGTACAGTGGAATCCTCATGTAGAAGAGTCAGTCTTTTGCATGGACCTCTAACGAGAACTGGGTTTGAAGAATGCAGTGCATCGAAGTAACTCGTTACTTTATCTTCCCTTAAGTAAATCTCTGTGCCCATGCACACTGAAATTCCTATGTTACTTCAGAGTAGCTTTAAAGTCTAAAAAATATTGCGTGTATATGCATGTGCTTAATTTTACTTTAGAGTTCTTAATTTAGCCTCTTACAGTATCCAGAAATCTATAACTTGATACAATTAAGCACAGTTTGGAGATAAGCAAATATGTATCTTGAGGCTAATGATTTGAAAAAATGCTCCACAATTAACTGAGATAGGAGAAAGAATAGTTTGACGAACAAATAATGTGTGTTTTCTTGTAGTTATCAGTGTTTCTCCCTATCACAAAAGATGAGTGGGTTCTTTTTTCAGTTGTATTATAATGTTTAGGTTGTTTAAATGTATGTCAGTTGGGGGAAGAAGGATTGTGGAAATGATAATATGTAAAGTGAGGTTTCACAAAGAATACTTTCCAGATCAGTTTCATTTATTAAATTCTTAAGAAAAAAGCTATTTAGTGGTTCTGAAATACTGTTTCTTAAAGCCTTAAATTTTGTGTTTAAGGCTAAGTAGGTGAAAGTGTTTTCTCCCAGTCATTTGCTTCATTGGTGCTAGTGTTCATCAGTATAAAAGGAGTTTGATTTTCTTTGTGAAACATCACTGTGTGATAAAGTATATGTGTATTTAGCATCCTTGTTTTTCTTTATGCTAAAGTGGATTCAGCTGTGTTGGGGCAGAAGAGACGGGACCAGCTGCTGGCCACATTTCCTGCTTTATTTTAAAAGGTAGTATAAGAAATGAGAATAAAGAGGTAACAGGGCTTTTGCTGTCTTTGGTTAAAAAGAAAAAAAGTTGAATGCTGGGATCATTTACTGTCATTCAAGCTTTATTTTTTTTTTAAAGGCAATATCCTATCAAACAGGTTTTACTCCATTGTATGTAGAATTCCATCTGTTCAGGGTATACTGCCAGCACAAAAGAGAGTGGGATATGTGTTACCTTACACCTCTGTGGTGGATCAGCAGGGCTGTTCAAAGTTTCAGTCTTAAATTGGGTAACTGCTGTAACTGATGGGTTATACCCGTGCCACAGGAGTCAGAGTTAACCACCAGGACCTGCACTGACTGATATGCAAAATGGAAATAATTTAGATTCAACCTAGGCTCAACCTGCCTAGCTCAGACTTCATGAACATGCTTTGTTCTGCAGTTTATTGAAAACAGAAAAACATTAATGTAGTATAGGATGTTACAGTGGCATTTTCACAGTTACTTCAGTCTAGAAGTGGTTTTTAAGTTAAATATGCATTCTTTCTTGTCGCATCACTGCTAAATGGCAGGGTCAGGGACTCAGTTCTTCTGGTCTCTGTGTGAACCTGCACATTGCTCTGTCGTGACACGACCTGTGAGCTGTGTCTGAGAGCAGCTGATTTTCTGACATGCAAAATGATGTATTTTGGTATAAGGACAAGGTTAAGTCCCAAGAAAGTCAGTGGCTGCAGGCATTTGTAGTGCCTACTGAATCATATTTAAACCAAATAGTGGGGAGGAAGCTATTTGAAACTCTTGACTGTACTATCTGTATGGTGTAGTATTAATGTAGCTTTTTGAAGTGAAAGCCTTGAAATGAAAAAACTTAATACTTGAAAATATATTGTAAATGTTTCCTTGTAATTATGTGCCATCCAGATAAGAATGCAATATCATAATAAAATCAGACTTGTTGATCTTTCAGTTTATGGGCTCAAATGTTTTTTCATCTTTTTCCTCTCATTAATGTCTTGGTTCATTAAACAAAGTGGGAAAACACGAAAATGCTGTTTCTGCTCTCTTTGTGGGTCATCCACTGAAAACAAGATAAAATGGGTCAGGGTATGCAGGAGAAATGTTCTTGCTCATCTGTATTGAAAGATAATTTTGTGGTAAGGACAAAGGTGTTATTCCTTGAACTGCAGATAGAGCTGTACTTCTGAGAATCAGCACTTCTTGTATTTTATAGTTGTTTTTCTTTCTTAATTTTTTTAAATATGGATATGTTTGATCAATATACCATGGAGGAGTAAAATACGTAAACCCTTCCGTGGTCTGTTGGCATCTTCCTGCTTTCTGTCCTATTTTTAGGCTCTGAAGTTTGATGACTGGTCAATAATATGTTGCTGAATCACCATCTCATCAAATTGGTATTTCCACACTAAACACTGGAGTGAGTGTTTAAAACAAAAGGTTTGACGGTGCTGAAAAGACAACATTTTCAGAGCTCCAGAGTGAGCCATGCACTGTACTTTTTGATTTCTGTTCATCTTAAATGCTTTATTTGTAGGACAGTTTAAAACAGCGCTTTCCACATGCAGGCATTCTAGTGAAAGTGGTCTGCAGCTTGATGAAAAGGAACGTTTCACAAAAAATAGTGTAAAAATTTAAAAGCATACTGGCATGCTCAGCCTTTTTGGCCTGTAGTTGCAGAAAGTACCCTGTTCAGCGTTGGAATATGTGTTTGTTAAACTTTCGTACCACAGAATTAAGTGGTGCCAGTGTTCAGCTGTGTAGCTATGTAGCTACGTTTTTCAGTATTTCTCCACCCCAGAGTCAACCAAAGAAGCATTTAAAGTATTTAAATAAGAAACAATTGAATGATCAGTTCTCCTTTAGTCCTTTATAGTTTGATTCTGGTGCTGTGACTCTTAGTACTGTTCTAAATTAACTTCTCTGTCTTTCCTCTGAAGAGCTTTGCAGCAGGAAAAAACAAATCAGTGCTTCTGCAATCTGTAGATGCCTGGAGAGATGATACCAGAGGAAGTGCAGGAAACCCTGTTCTAACACTTGGCATCTCTTCGGACTTCCAGATTATCAGATTTCTCATGCCATTTGTCAAAACTATTATCAGTTTTCCGTGTGAAACAGAGGAATCTTTTGCAAAACACAAAGGCCTTTTGTACATTTACTGATTTTTAAAATTCCGTGTTTTCTAGAGCTTTTAAAGAGGTTTTCTGCTGGAATCAGCAATATTCTGGTTATTTTTACTATTTACTATTAGACTGTAAAATGTCTGAAGGATATGTTAGGTATGGGAGCTGTTCAAATGGACTCAGTTTAAAGAACACCCTGTACCAAAACTGCATATTGCCAGCTGCTGATTCTACAGTTTTACGCCTGGTTGAAGTGGGATATGTAGATGTGGGGAAATAATTTCTGTGGTGAAATGATTCTGGCAGGAGGATGCCAAGAGCAGGACTAGGGCGTGTACCAGGAAGATGGGCACATCATTTGCAGAGGGCTGTGGAATAGATTGTAAAGTTGATATCCAGCATCAAAAACGGATGCAATAATCACTGAACCAGTCATAGTCATTCTTAAAGATACTACTGCAAAATAACACCTTTATTTTATGTTTTTTATTATCGCAGTTAAGCGGTTCTGTTGGTTAAAGTCTGATGGCTTCTGGAGATATGACAATTCAGTGTCATATAAAATAATTGCTCTGTGAGAATCTCCAAAGTCAGGGTGGTTAAGGTAAGGCCAAGCTCTCTGTTTAGATGCAGACCAGTATAGGAACCCCATATGACACAGTAATACTTTGAATCAAGGGAAACTGAACTATCTCTGTGTAAAAACAGGTAGTCTGTGTTTGCTGATAGAGAAATAGAGTGGGTGATTTTCCTGCTGTAATGACAGATTATTAAGGAAAAGGTAGATAAATATGATGAAACTCCTTAATACATTTTTCATCAGTGTTACAGCATAACCTTTAACCCAATTCAATTAGTCTCAATGCTGAATTCTTTAATTCTAATTAATAAATATTTCCACATGCATCTCAGGGGATACTAGAATTTTACTAAAGTGTACATGAACTGATCAGTAACTGTACAGCTTTTACAATCACAGAATCATTTAGGTTGGAAAAGACGGAGTCCAACTTTTGACCAATCACCAACTTCTCAACTAGACCACGGCACTAAGTGCCACATCCAGTCATTTCTTGAACACCTCCAGAGATGGGGCCTCCCACCTCCCCCTGGGCCATCCACTCCAATGCTTAACAACGCCTTCTGTGAAGAAATTCCTCCTGGCACTTTATATTGCTCTACAACCAATACAGTCACCAAAGTGAAGACATGCCTGACTTGTAAATGCATTACTTTAGACCACTGATCTTAGAACTTGAGGTAGCTGAGATATCACACCAGCCCTCAGAGGCCTCGACACACTTCCATCCTTCATGAAAAGAGTTATTTCAAGGCAAAACAAGGATAAAGTGTGCTCTGACTAGACTGTTTTTTGGTTGCTTGATACATATGCTGGGAAGCCTGACACGAGCATCACTCTGTGTGCTGTGTGATAACAGTGTTCTCTTCAGTGTACAGTGGGACCCTCATAACAGCCTAAAGGAGGTAATCTTGTGACAGAAATTTTGTGCTAGCAGAATGGAGAAAAGGGAGAATAATACTAAGATTTTGAGGAATATCTAAAAAACCCTTGCCATGATCACCCCTTTTTTAAAAAAAAAAAAAAAAAATCTCAGTAGTTTGCATTATGAAGAAAAAGCCTCCTTTTTCAAGAATACTCATTTTAAGAGCTTCTAAAACATGTAGCATCACCTTAGAGCCAAACACTAAGCAGGCAGTATAAATGCTTTTCCCCCCCCATTTCCAAACAAACACACCTGTCTATAATGCTCTTATTCAGATGTATACTTTAAGCTGGGCATAACAAAAACTTAACCTGCATTTAAGTTCAAAACTTGAAAAATGTCAGTGCAGAGTCTTTGTTTTTCTATTAAAAGAAAGACAGAAAGCAACAACTTCTTTTCCTTGTTTATTATGGTTACTTATCCAAGGCAATTGAAAAGTTATTTTAGCTCTTCAGGATCCCTGCTAAGGTGCATCTGCTGTAGTATTTTGACATATATTCCGTGCTGTTTAGTGGCAAGATATAATCCAGTTAGACACTGTACCAGTACACCCAGACTCATCTTTCTAAAGACAGGCTGAGTGATTGTGAGCCAGTAGCGTACTGCATTTTCTTTCCCTGGCAAGGGAGATGACATGTACCTAAACAACATAAACAGCAGTAGAAACTTACTTCTTTTTGCCATGCAAGTGTCAAGATTTAACATTATAAATATTTAGGTAGATAGTCATTTTCTCCTTCTTCTCCTAAGTTAATTTTACCTGGTGGTACTGAGCTCTCTGGATAAATGCTATAAAACATCCTGACCTGTACTGAGTCTTGCCAAGCCTCGCTGTGCTCTGAATTACAAAGAACGACACCTGCCAGGGAGTTTGGCTGCCAGGCACTGCCCAGGGTCACTGAGGTCTCTCAGCTGTCCAGCCATCTTCACTGCTTGGCAAGATGGCAGCCACCACTGCCCACAGCCAGGCACATCCGGGCTGGCTTGTAGGGTTCCAGTTAAATACAAAGTGCTTCACAGTGGATTGCTCTGCAGATCTTGTTTCATTTTGGAGGCTTGGTGTAGCTCCTACAAACTTCACCTTGTAATTAGATGACCTTAATATAAATCCCCTCCCCACGTACTACATGCCTACAGGAAGACAGGTGTGCACAGACTTAAATTCCACAGAATTTACTCTGAGAATGGAAGATTTAACCAATAAATACATTTCACTCATTACAGGTTAATAAGACATACCTGGCTGCAAGGCTTGCGTTCAAGGGGAGAGCCAGGAAAGCAGGATAGAGAGCACCCACAACAGCCCCCACTAATCCTCCTCTGACCACAGCACAGACCTCACAGTTCAGCTGACCTGCATAGCAAATGATATTTCAGTCAATATCCACACATGCTCCACCACATCAATTTATAAGCTGTGTGCAAGAACGTGGAAAGAGGCCCTTGACAGAAACTGCCACGCTGTACAGGCATGCAAGAAATTATGAAAGGAGGACTCTTCCTTTTGCAAAAAAAAAAACAACCCAAAAACCAAACCAACACTCCCATTCCAACTCACAAAGAATTTATCACTCTAAAGCTGACCTTCAAATAAAATTGTACAGACGGGGGAAACTGAGCTGCTTTGTTGCAGTTGCTTTTACATGACTTTGAGTGAAAAATCTAAAAACAAGTCATGTGTAACAGAATTATTTTTATAAATCTACATAAACATGTATCTCCTTTCCCACTCCACCTCAAGAACTCACTGCTGCCCAACGCATTGTTTTTCAAACCCTGCTTTACAAACTGAGGTTTTTCAAGACCACAACAGTTCAAGAGCACTGCTCTGCAGGGAAGAAAAGCTCCTCTAGTGTTATGTTGTGGATGGGAAGCAAAGCCCTTTTGAAAACAAGGAATAAAGAGGTTTTTACCTGAAAATAAAGGGCCACGCACAAAAACTTCATAAACTGCTGTTGTTGAAAGAAACGGAATAACAGCCATTGGCACAGCGGACACCAAGGAAGCCCTTCTGATATTTAGGATGTTCCTGAAGAAATTATTTGCTGCTAAGCCACATAAGCTTGAATTTGCTGCTAGGAAGTATGATCCATGATTACAAAGGTTCCTGTGAAAGGAAAAAAGTCATTTTAGCAATTGAGAACAGTAAAACAGTTTACTCAGTGTTACAATTCTTTTCTGAATATCCTACAACAAGGGGTAAGAGAGGCAAATCTCTCACAAGTGCAAAATAGAGAGGAACTACTTTCAAAAGCAATCAGTACAGCATCCTTTGTTACATGCCTGAGTTTACACACACTTTAAGAGTGAAATGACAAAAAGGCTAAGAAGCCTTTTCTACAATTCTTTTTTAGTTTATTACAGCTAATGGAAGCTTCATTAAATTTGCTCTCCTAATCAGCATGTTTCTAAGGAGAATGTTTTCTGAAAAGAAATTAAGAAATACATATATAGAATCACAGGTAGCTCCTGTAATCAGCCATGTTTTTAGCCTGCATACCCAAAAGTATCGGTTTAGTTTCAACATTAAGAGCTTACAGAACAGATCAGGTGGGATAACTCAGACTTTGCAATAATCTCAGCAGCTGCTGGCGATCATTTGTAGTGAACCTGCATGTTGAAGGGGTCTAAGCTTTCCTTGTCTGCAGAGAACACATGGATTTAAGGTCCTACCTTGCTAGTTAAAGGCTACAGAACTCCAATGTACTGGTTTACAGAACTGGAGCTTCTATTTCTCCCTTGATAACAGAGGAACTGAATTCTGTTATCTACGATATTTTTAACATATGGTTTAGAGCAACTACTCGTGTTGCAAACCCTAATAGGGTAAAGGCAGAATAGAACAAAGCAGTCAGAGAGAGTCAGCAGCATTTAATATCTTAACAAACAGTTCCCGTTTGAGTACATCACATCCCAGCAGGTAACACAAGAGAGGGAACAGGCAAGCATGCCAATTTTACAGGCCTGATGAGCATATTTATGTAACTTCATTTGACTGACAGAAGGAAGTTGTGCTTTACCTTTAGCATTATAGCTGGCACTATCTGGTCAGTGGAAACAACTCTTTTCTTTAGGTTTCCCCAAATCTAAAATTCACAGAATGGCAACTATTGCCAGGCAAAGCAATTACCTGGAAGGCACTCTGATTCTGAGGCTGTACCAATATGGTTATGTTAAAAGTGTCTCTTCAAAATTGTATTTATCACTAAAGCCCCGAAAAAAATAAATTACTTAACCGATCACAAACTTTATGCTAGGCCAAATGTCATATTTACTTGTAGTTATCAGAAGTGACAATCTTTAAGCCATTTAGCAATTAAAATAAATAATTAAAAAAAAAAATCAGTCTACTTAAAATTCTTCATTTTAATGCTTAGAGTAACATTAAGCACTGAAAAAATCATACAGAAAATACTTCAGAGATGTGCAAAACTTAAAACATTTGACATCAAAGACGCCAACAATTTCTCATTTTGAATAGGAAAATACCTTAGTTCCCAATATATACCAGATTTTCAAAGATGAAAATAAGCTACTAACCTTTCAATTCTGCTGCTATATAGAGAGAGCAAAAGAACTTTACTGGTCAGATCTCTTCTCTTACCATTATTTAAGAGCTATTCTTTTTTTTGTGCTTTGTTTTAAAAAGAAATTTGCTTTTCAAATCCCCATTTTCCCAATTCTCAAAATGTCCATGGAGTACTTGCTGCAAATAAGCCATTTCATTCTGTTGGGATGTTTACAGTCACAGGCAGTGAAACGCAGGTGGGCACATCCATAAATGTGGAGGACAGAGATTAAAATTTTAGCGGCATATTTAAGTATCCAAAGGACCAGCAGAAATTGCTTAGGCCTGCTGAAGTACAGAACTGCTACACTGCACAGAAGGAAAGAAAGAGAGGATGGAAGCCTTGGGGTTTGGTTGGTTTGCTTTAAATACAAGCTCCCTAGCGTTAAAAACACGTGCTTTAGTGAACAGGAACTCTATCAGTCTGACTGCAGAGTGTTTGCTCTTCCCTTCCAGCCATTAGTGACCTCCCCTCTGGATATACAAGCCTAAAGTCCTGCCAGGACTGACAGCTACTTCTTTCCAAGGCCCAGAAGTCAGTCCTTAAGTACCACAGTTTCTATCCAGATGTTACCACATCACCACTGAGGTATCTGCCTCCCCTGCTCTCCTGAGGAAGTCTGAGTGTTTCAAGCTGAATGTGAGGGCAGCAGATCCTATGTAAAGTTGCACCCTTTGCTTTCTCACCTGTGTGGAGAGGCCCTGTGTTACTACCAGCAGCTTGTTTAGCCAGCAATTCAGTCCTATTAAAAAATATATAAATAAAATAAGCTTCCAATTCCTCTTATTTATACAGAATTTATCCAAGCTCATACACACATGCAAATGGCTCCTAACAGAACCCGCTCAGGTCCAGTAATGTTTTGCAGTGCAATGCAGTATCACAAAACAAAAAGGTCATTTGTGAGGCCCAGAACTCATTTAGCTGACTTTATGCTGCACAGAAACCTGCTGGTGAGCCCGCAGGACTCCAGCTGACTCCTCCACCACCACCTGGATACCTCAAGTCTTGCCTTCCTGAAACGGGAAGCAGTGCAGAATGAAACGCAGAAACCAGCAGGTTGACACTCACTAAGTTCTGGCCCCAGGCCAGCCCTGCTGGACACAAGATGACTCCAGCAGAATCACATTTCATTTCCTAGAAAATGTATTAGCTCTAGCATAGGACTATGTGAATGCTCAGAGCCAGTCCGGGCTGATTAGCCATCCCAGAACCCTAAGCATTGGAGAGCACACAATAGAAACCAGTTGAACAGGACCAGAGCTAACACTGAACTAACCATATTGGAAAAACATAAAACAAGTTCCCTCTTCTGAGCACTAACAAGCATCTTCACAATTAAGTATTTTTGTAACTGCAAAGAAAATTTGTAATATGAGAGTAAGGAAAAAGAAAAGCCTCCAAGACTCGAAATGTTTGATGCACTCATCTTCATTTATTTTACCAGCACTTACTGATCTGTTTTAGGAAGCTCATTTAACATCTTTTGTATGATTTCCATCTGCTTGAGTCTTGCCAAAAATAGACTTTGCTGTGGAGAATCTAGTTCAAGAAACTCTCTTCCTGTCATTCTGGAGTCCTGGATCATAAGGAAAAAACAAACAAAACAAAAAACCAAAAAAACCCCAAAGTTACACAGCCCCAGTATGAATCAAATAAACATTTAGACTCTTTGCCACCATGAATCACAAATGTATTTCCTATTTTGCATGGCAATATTCCAGGTTTAAATTGATTTAACTGTCAAAAAGAGGTGAAAGGAAAAAAAACCCAAATAAATCCATACTTTGTAAAGATTTAAAGAAACGATGAAGATACCTACTCTGCTTTTATACTCCACACATAAGGACTTTTTTTATTGGTACCCTTAGCCAGAGACTTATATACCACATCAGTTGTACTGGGTTTGTGTGTCAAGGTTTTGGTAGCTGGGGGGCTGCAGGGGTGGCTTCTGAGATGCAAGAAGCTTCCCTCATGTCTTGCAGAGCTGTTCCAGTCAGCTCCAAGATGGACCTGTCACTTGTCAAGTCTAAACCTAACTTCAACAAGTGGCAGTGTTTGTGAGATAACATAGCTAAGAAAGGGTAAAAATTACTGCATAGGAGCAGCTGGAAAAGAGTGAGAAAATGTCAGCGAAACAGCCCTGCAGACACCCAAGGTCAGTGGAGCAGGAGAGGTAGAGCTGCTCCAGGTGCTGGAGCAGAGATTCCCCTGCAGCCCATGGTGCAGACAAAGGTGAGGCAGCTGTGCTCCTGCAGCCCATGGAGGTCCACAGTGGAGCAGATATCCACCTGCAGCCCCTCAGGGATCCCATGCCAGAGCCTGAAGGAGGCTGTGACTCTGTGGGTAGCTGCACTGGAGCAGGCTCCTGGCAGGACCTATGACCCCATGGAAAAAGGAGCCCACTTTGGAACAGGTTTCCTGGCAGGACACGTGAGCCTCTGAGGGTCCCACACTGGAGCAGGCTGTTCCTGAAGGACTGCACCCTGTGGAAGGGTCCCACAATGGAGCATTTCGTAGAGAACTGCAGCCTGTGGGAAGGACTCACGTTGGAGGAGTTTGTGGAGAACTCCTGTGGGAGAGACCCCACGCTGAAGAAGGGAAAGAGTGCAAGGAGGAAGGAGTGGTAGAGACAACATGTCAACAACCCCCATTCCCCACCTTCTTACATTGTTCAGAAGGAGGAGAGAGAGAAAATCAGGAGCAAAAAGAGGGGTGGAGGAAAGGTGTTTTAAAGATCTGACTTTATTTTTCATTACCCTACTCTGATTTGATTGACAATATACTAAGTTTTCCCAATGTTTAGTCTATTTTGACCATAATAATAATTGTTGAGTGATCATCCTCTGCTTATCTCAACCCATGAGCTTTTATTTATACCTTCTCCTTGTCGTGTTGAGGAGGGGGAGCGACATAGCATCTTGGTGGCTACATGGCAACCAGCTGAGGTCAACCCACGCCAAAAACTCTTGATTAAACCTGGTGTTTAGCGATTCAAATGCTTGTTTTCTAGATATTTAACCCCAGAGGAAATTCTCCCAGACCCCCTTTGCCAGTCATACTTACCTTAAGTTACTTTTATGACGTGAAAGTTCAGTCGTAAGTCCTGCCTATAGGACTGTGCCTGTTCCGGTTGGGGCTTGGCAGGATGCAGGAACGGAGAAAGCAGGACAACCGGGCAGGATCTCACCGGGATCACTCCAGGCCGTCACAGGAGGGTCCCAAACCTGTGCTTTGGGTAAGACACAGCGTCACGCAGTTATAACCACCCACCGCTCCTTGACTCTCGCACACGTTTTGCACACGCATCTCTCCCTAATCTTCGCACGCCGCTGGAGGCCCCCAAACCCCGCAAAGCCCCCGGGTCAGGACAGAGCCCTCACCCCCGACCTTCAAACATCAGCCTTACCAGCCGCCGCCTCCGCACCGCGCTCACCCTCCTGGCCACGCCGCCGAGCTCAAGCTCCGACCTTGAGCTGTCCGGGAACACCCGGCCCCGCCACCCCCGTCGGGCCGCTCCCGACGCCCACAACATGGCTCCGCCTACCTCACGCCCTCCTCGTGGGCGCCGCCATCTTGCCCGCTCACATGACCCAGGGGCCTCAGAGGCCGTCTCCAATTGGGCGGGTGTCCGCCGGCCCAGCATGGCGGCGGCCGATTGGGCGCGGGCCGGGGGCGGGGTGCGGCACTGGTTGCCGGGGTGGCGAATGGCGGCGGCTCCTCGATGGCGGCGGGGCTGAGCGCGGACCCTGCACCGGCGGCCGGGACGCGGGGACTCCCCCTCCCTGCGGCGGGGGGAGGCCCAGTCCTCGGGGTAACCCGCTGACCCCCTCCCCTCAGCCCGCGCCCTCTCCCCGTCCGCCCCCCTCAGCCCCCGCACCCCTCCCACCCGTCGCCCTCTTCCCTCGCCACCGGCTCCTTTGTGCTCCCTGCCCGTCTCGCCCTTTCGAGCGCCCCTCGTCCCGGCTGCGTCTCGCTCCACCCCACCGCCGTCCCCTCCTTCATCCTGCAGTTGCGTCCCGCCTGTCTCTCGGCAACCCTGGGGGGGATTGTCCTCGTCCTTAAACCCAGCCCGGCTCCTCCAGCTCACCTCTGCCCCATCCCACTCTCCCCCGACCCAGCCAGCCTCTGTGCCCTGTCCCGCCTCAGAACGCAGCACAGTCCCCCTTGGGTTCGGGAGAGCTGGGGGAAGGAAGGAGGGGTGGATAGAGAGGGGTGAGGGAGGAGAGCCCTGGCGCCCCTGCCTGGGGATGCGGGGACGGACAGATTCCGGTTGTGAACATGAAAGAGCAAAGCAGAGCCGCCCCCTTCGCAAACACGGTTCCCATCGCCCACAGACGATGTAAAGCAAAGCCCCGGCATGTGCATCGCAGGTCCTCATTCGCGCGGGGAAGGGAAGCGCTCGAAGCTTGTTCGCCTTTTTCATGCATTTCCTTAACGAGGTAGATGAGGAAAATCCATCCCGTTTCTGTTTCTCTTTTTGTTTTTGTTTTTTTTTTTCCAGAAAAAGGGAGAGAGAGAGAGAGGCTCGTATTGAAGCCAACCAGCTGCGCTTCTGAGTGGGAAGCTCCGGACTGATCTCATGGCTTGCTTTTTGTTTCATTAATACTTCATTGTCTCTGAAAATGAACCATTTGTGAAGCTCTTCTTCTAACTCTGCTTATTCCTCTTTCATGAGGTGGCTGCTGCTGTGCAAGGGAAGGAATGGCATGAAGTAAATGGCTCCAGTATAAGCAATCTGCTTTGCCCAAGTGCCCAGTGAGCAGCACTGTCACTTTAATAATTCCAGGTCAAGGGATTGCTTTCCTCGTTTTCAATCCTCTTTTAATACATGGGAGGATCAGAGGGACATTAAAGCCGTAAGGCTGGGTGGCTTGCAGATAATAAAAATGAAAGTGACTGCCCAGTGACTTCTGTTGGGTAAGAGGGTGATATTTGAAGGCTGTTGTCTGGTGAGGAAAAAGGGACCTTTTCAGTCTCCTGGGTAGTCATCTAATACGTAGCTAGCAAAATTAATTCAAGAAGTTAAAGAGACACTTTGGATTGTTTTTGTCTTCCTCCTTATTTGGATTATTTGGGCATTTTTGTCCTGCAAATGATATGTTTTTGAGCATGTACAGGTGGAGTATTGAGACAGCTGCCTAGAGATGGACTGTGCCTTAATTGTATTGCATAAAATCTTTTAATTTTCAAACTTTGCTGCCAGAAGAGGAGTTATAATAAGGTTTTATATTGCCAAGGAACGTTTGCCCTTGTATTTTTATAGATTCAGATATATTTTAAAGAAATTGAAAACATCTCTTAAAAAAGAATCAAAAAGCTTCTTTCCCCCCCCTTTTTTTTTTTTCTTATTTGTGGGAAGCATCAGAAGTCCAATACAAGGGAACAGCAAGTATTCATAGAAATGAAGATTGAAGCTGCTTTTCCTTACTGAACTGTAAAAGTGTTCTGCAGTAGATAGCCAATTCTTGACCTCGCAGAGTGCTCCAGTGGTACTTTGTTAGTACCTGTAAATAAGTGCTTGCAACCAGATTCAGAAGTAGGAAGAAGAATGCCAGTCAAGAAGAAAGGTGGGCTATGAAGCTTCATATCTCATATTGCGTCTTCATTGTGTTAGATTGTTGATTTCTGGTACTTACAAATTCAAATTAAAAATGTTTTAATGGGGAATGGAAATCGTTTTTCTCTTGCACTGAAAATGGGAAAAAAATCTGTGCTCTTAGTAGTTTTTAGAAGTAATTTTATGCAATGTTTTAAGACTTACGTCAAATTTGGCCTCAAATAGTTTTTTTTTTAAAGATCAACCATCAGAGATTTTGAACAGACACTAAGAGAAAAGCTTGGCATTTAGTTTTGTGAGAAGGCTCTCTTACAAATGCCAATAAATTTTAAAACCATAGTTTAGTCTATTATTATTCATTAAATGTTTGGCAGATAAACTTCAGGTATCAGTAGCAGGATAAATAAACAACCAAGTTTCAAGGCCAAGTTTAAATAAAAGTTATAGGAGTTGTGTTTTGAAGGTGATTTAAACGTGTGGGTTTTTTCAAATGTGATTTCAATTAACTTGGATTTCCATTCTTTAATACAATATAAAATTACTGTCTTTATGGCTGTAGTATGGCAGCATTTAAGGAAAGACGAAGAGCCTTATGTTTTGCCCCTTCTCACCTCAAGTTTGTGATGGCTGCAAGAATAGCAGCAGCTTTGGAAAATGTGATTTCCGGTGTTCAAACAAGAATTGTGAAATATATGAAGGCAAATTCTTACTCTGAAAACACTTCTATACCTTTGGTTATATCAGTTTGCTTGCAAATAGGACACTGATTTAAAGTTTTTTTATGTGCTAATAGAATAAATGGTATGTGAACCTTTTTTTTATTCAACTCATCTATCCAGATGCGTGCTCTGATATATCCCTGGATCTGATGATTCAAAATATGGGGGAAGGAGCAGAAAGTGAATATTACACAACGGAAATGAGAATATAGTTGATATGACTTTGAGTTCTTTTCCTTGTAGGAGTAACCCTTCATTAGTTATGAATTAACATTTACTATGTAAATAATGATAAAACATGCAGATTGCTAGAATTATTTTCATGTAAAAAACAACAAATGGGATTTTGTGTTTATATTTTAACACATGACAGTGTAGAAATGAATTTTCAAAACAGAAATATATTAATGGATCATCCTGTCATTCATTATAATTGATTACAGTTATGTGTAGTAAAGGTGGAAACGTGAATGGAGGAGTAACATCCTTAATAATTCATCCTGCTGTGCTGTCAACATGTCACCCTGATGTACTGGTGAAGCTCATGTGTTTTACCTGTTTACAAAAGGAAAATTGAGACCGTTTTCATATCTTAAATCTTAATCCTGATTTAGGTGATTTACATGAAGGATGTTTCCGTGCTGGATGTTTAGCTGTAATTCAGTTTCAGAACACTTGCTGCAGGATTTTTGGGGTGAAATCGTACAGGCTCCTTTGTGCAGAAGTTAGATTGGCAATCACAGCGGTCCCTTCTGGCCTTGAAAATCTGTGGATTTCCTGTTTGTTTCCAGGCAGTTTGGGTCAGTTTTAGTGTACATCAAGGCTCGAATTTCTTCTTCTGTCTTATGAGGATATGTATTTTGACAATGTTAAAATATAAACTCAAGAGACCCAAATGTGCTCTTTGAAATACTATAAACTGTAACATCAGTCGGTGTATTGGAGTTCCCAGTGTGAATGACTTTGAGTATTAAAAGGGTATTGTTAAAAATGCATTTAAGCATGTAAATTGCAGGTTTAAAAATCTTAACGAATCAGCAACTTCATTATGATTTTGAATGACTTAATTTGTCTAGTTCATGCAATAGATTTTAACTTTCTAAACATAATTAAAAGCATGCTGGCAACTTGAAACACACTACCATTTTTAAAAAGTCCACTATCGTTACAAGTAATCCCTGTTACTGCCATAAATACGAAGGAGGTCGAGGGGATTCCCCCCCCCCCCATTTATTTGCTTTATGCTTTTGTCAGCACTTTGTGTCTAACTAATTTTATGTTTCTGATGGTGATTTATTTTCCCTTTCTCATTTTATGTATTTGGGAGATCATGTCTGCTGTCTTTCCTACCCAGGCCATCTGTAGAAATCTTGGTGGGATTCTCACTTCTAGGCTGTGCAAAAGTATGTATTTCAATAGCAGCATTAAGGACAGGATTATCCCTCTCCGTTTCAGCACTTATTTTTGTGTTGCTATTTTGGATTTGATCAAAACATTCTCCTAAAATCAATATTGAGACAGAGAAACCTGTGAAAACAAACTTTAAAACATACTGATATTTATTGCTGGAAGTTATTACCAAGTGCTGCTTTCTTTGGCACTGATTGGTTCTGGGTCTTTCTAAAGAACAGTGTATGCATTTTGGGAATTTACCTTTGACAGATCTCACATCCAGTACCAGTCTTCAAATTTCACATAACTTTGCACCTAATTTACACTTTACCTTCCTGCTTGATATGATGTTTTCCATCTCTCTTTTAAAAGTCCAGGCCTGTTTAGTCAGGAAAAAAATAGTTTGCTTAATAATAAAAATCATATAACTTAGAGCAAGCATTAATTTCGTATGGATGCGGAAAAAAGGATTGCTTCTGGTTCTGATCATGTTTGTGTCAGTACGTGGTTGCCATTGCCTGATGTGTTAGAGCGAAAGGATTTTGTTTTCTCACTTCATTCTGAATGGGAATAACGCTCCACATTCCCAACAATGTTCACAGAGTTGACATGTTTGCTGTCAGTCTCAGCAAAAAGTGAGGCTGGAAAGGGAGAACGGAGTATCCTGTGGCGTTGAATGTGCTCCCTTCAGATAAGGGGCGGGACACTGATGCACTGTTTCTGCGTGATTAAACAAATGGCTCTTTTCTTTGGCTTTTGCTCATCTTTCACTTTTAAGTACATTTCAAGTTTTAAATCAAACCAGACATCTCACGTTAGTTACAAGATGATTTGTTGGACAGCACCTTTTAGAGATGATATGAGATGAAGGAATTTGATAAGTCAATAAATGCATTATTTTTGCTTAATTTTTACTTGACTTTCACAAACTAGACTATGTATGAATACAACTATTCATAAAAAAGTTATGGAACTTCTTGAGAAAAGCTTTGTTTCAAACTAAAATAGTACTACCATACAGAAGTGAAGTCAGGTCACTAAGTGGATTCAGGTTTTTGTGTATTTTCTTTTCCTCCCTCTCTTCCTGAGTTGCTTAGTTGAGTTGATTTCTGTGAACTGTAAGGG